CATTGTAATAATATGATATTATTGTTATTACCGGTATTTTGTGATAATCTGATGCATTGTAAATTATTATTAGTATTTCGTAATAATATGATGCATTGTAATAGAATTATAATATAATTATTTTAAAATTATTTGTATATTATATAAAAATGTTTGACCACACACATCCCATCGGATCGAATTCCTAAACGTGTTTGTTTGGTGATTTTTACAATAAATAAACAAATAAAAATATGCATCACACATGTGTATCCTAGTTATTTAAAAAATAAATTAAAAGATTTGTGTTTGGTTAGATTTTTTTTCAAATACTTTTGACTATTTACTAATTTTTTTTCTTTTTAAGAATACCAAATCAAACTATTTTTTATATTTTTAATATTTTTACCAGGTTTGTATTAATTTGTAAGAGAATGAGAATTTGTTTTGATAATAAATATAAATAGAACTATGATTTGTTGGCATATATTATATATTAGGTTTGTTTAATTATATACCTCCTATATCCTAAAACAATAGTTTTATTTTCTCATTTTCGTCCGTTCTAAAATAATAGTCCAATTTCCGTTATTAGTAACTAACTCCATATCTTTTTACAAAACTATCCTAATTTTTTCATAGTAATTACATAAAATATGGACATTTTTATATTTTCAAAGCACCTTAATACCCACTATCAATATAATATTATAATTTTTAATTCTCCCAAAGGTTTTTTTTATTTTGGGATAGAGGGAGTATATATATATTCACGTGATTATAAAATTACAAGATTATCCAAAGAATAATTAGTTAGTTGTCGGAGGCTGTCCGGACCGGAATCATCATGAGTTTGGCCTACGGTTGCTCTCTTTCTTTCTCTTCCCCTTTTCTTTGTTTTCCTTCGATTCTTCATTTTTCTTGCCGAAGGAAATGGAAGAAAGAAAAAATATGAAATAGAAAAAAGAAGAACAAAGACGAGGAATGAATGGGTGCATTGATTTTTTTTTCATTTTTTTTTTAAATAGTTTTAAATTTGTATGTATAAATAAATAGGTGCATTTCATTGTAAGTATTTTTATGTTGTATTTTATTTTTGTAATTTTTTTTCTATCTTCTATATTTCAAGTTTTCACCTCATTGTATTTTCTATTTTTTTCTCATTTCTTATGTTTTATTTTCAATTTCTCATGCATTACAAATTTATTTTCTTTAATAATTCTTATTGAATAATTTTTTGAAATTTAAATGTATGATTTTTTTTTTTTTTTTAAATTTGGGATTGTATAGTTGTGTTTAAGTTGTAAGTTTTTTTATTTATTAACTTATTTCTTCATCAATCAAAAATAGAATAAAATATAGTAAAACCGACAATATATAAAAAAAATAATAATAACAAATTATATAAATATAATAGATGATAAAAAATTATGGGTTGTTATTTTATAATCATGGGTTTTATAATTGTGATTATTTTATAACTGCAGCATGAAGGTTATTAGATATGAATATATATTAAAAAATTAATTAATTTTTTAAAATATCTACATAATTTTCAATTGATATTTAAATAATTTTAATATAAGTTGGAAAAATAATATATTAATTAAATATTCTCGAATTATTCTTATTTGAGAGTCCCAACATTTTTTCTATAAACAAAGGGAGTAGAGTCCCAACATTCTTTCCAATATGGGACATATGAGGTGATACGCATTTATTTATTTATATTTTACTGAAGTCAACCAACACGTCTTTTCACATGCAAAGTGGATATATGCTACTTACAAATCTTGGACATGAATGACGACGAATAAGTGGCAGTGAGACTCAAACATGGGACTTTCCCGGGTCCAATACTATTTTTTTAATTTTAATTAAACTAATTAGTTATTTTAATCTTAATTTATAATTATTTATATTATAGGATAATTATTTTCACTAATATATTCTTAATTATCTACTAATTACACCCCTCCTAAAATACCGTATCTACGATGTAACAGACACAGTATCTGGGACGGAGGGAGTAATAAAGAGATATTTCAAAATATCATATCATGCTAAAAAATGAACAATTCTATTTAGGGATTTATCTGTTTGCGTGTGTTTTGTACACAAATATTGCTTTTATAGCTACAAATGCATCTTATTTTTTACTGTGTACAATATTTTTATTTCGGTACAAGAATTCAGGTGAGTAAATAACATAAAAATTAAATAATGCAATGAGAGGTAAGTGTATATTTATTTTTAGGAAAATTGCAAAATTTGTCCTACATATATGTTAAATTATCATATTTATACAATCTATTTTTCAATTTTCACAATATTGGACAGTATGCTTTCACCGACCTCATTTTTGTTCTCCGACACCAAAACAAGTCACATGCTCCTATGTGGACATGTTGTTGACGACATGGATTCTGCTGGCGCTGACATGTCACTTGAGATGGACGATTGGTGATATGAAAATTATTATTTTTTTTAAAAAAAAATGACTAATATTTTTTAAATTACTAGGCCAAATTCAAAGCAACAAAAAAATTTATCGCCTAGTGTGACTTGTCTGTTAGACCTAGTTTGCAGGGTATTAGGTTTGATCGGGAATTTACCCCGTGAGCACTTCCGGGTAGCGGCTGCGGATTTCCACATCATAAAAAAATAACTCATAAGGTCTGATGGTTTGCGGGGTAAACTTGTGACCATGAAAATAAAATTAACTCATAAGATGATTTTATAACTAAAACTCTTTTGCTATGAAAATAAAATTTCTTTTAACAACGAAATTAATTTTATAAGAGTATATGTTTGTTTATTGTTTTGAATTGAGAATATGATGTGTTTAAAAGCATATACTCTAAATAGAAAAATATATATATATAATAAATAAAGAAAAAAAAATGCCTCCCTAGATTTGGCTCCGAAACAATAAAATAAAATAAAATTATTCACTCCGTCTCATTTTCATAATTATATATTATTATTTTTTACAAAATATCAAATTAAAATATTATTTAAATCAAAATTCAAATAAAAAAAATAAATCAAAATCCAACACTCTTATTTACTTCCATTTAACAAAGTTGAAATTATGTGTTTAATAATTTATATTGTTCTTATTTAATAAACATATATATTAATGTCGACATAAAATGACAAGAATGAATTTCAAGAAAATTCTTTAACCTAATAATAAAAACTATTTAAAAAATAAATAAACAAAAAACTGGAAATTAAGCATCAAGGAAACGTGCCTCACTGAACTATATCCATTAAAGAGGTATCTATGCATCGTCCTGCCGAACAAATTGTTGGTCTCAGACTATATATATATATATATATATATATATACATATAGCAGAGGGGGGGCTTCAGCGCCCTTGATCTTGTAAATACAATTTCATTGTTCGTTTGGTTTATTTTGTTCGGGGGATTGGATTTTAAATTCATTATTCATTCTATTTTTCTTTTCCAAAAATATCAAATCAAACACCTATTTTTTATTTTTTATATTATACTAAAAATCAATTTTGCATTCAAAACATCACATCAACGCCTATTTATATCACATCATACCGCTATTCAAATTTAAAATTTTTACTAATCAAATCCCAACTCAAAATTCCAAACCCCAAACAAACTTATAATTAAATTTTCATAAAAAATGAAAAAATATATATATATATATTAATAACTAGTTGATTTAAATTTAAATTAAAATATAAATAACATATACTAATTAAATAAACCCATATGTTTGTAAAAACAATTTCATTGTTCCTTTTAAAAGTTTATAATCAAATTTTCATAAAAAAAATGAAATATATATATATATATATTAATAACTAGTTTATTTAAATTTATATAAAAATATAATTAGCACATACTAAGTAAAAACGAACACTTCACATCCAACCCCTAAAATTACATAATTTTGGAAACCCTAATTATAAACTCAATAAATACATAAGTCTATATTCTATTGAATCATAGATATTATTTCAATAACGCCATCTTAAGTATATATATATATATATATATATATACTTTGGGGCTTGCACGGGTGTGTTTGTTGCCGGAGGACTTCCATCATCGTACAACACCATTACGTTCATTTAAGTATATCTCCACAACGTCTATAAAAATTGTAAAGTTAAAGAAAAAGAACATATTCTTTTGAAATAAATAAATAAAATCTTATTTAATAAAATTTTTGTCCATAAAAATTGTAAAATTAAAGAATAAGAACATATTCTTTTTCTTAAAGAAAAAAGAAAAAAGAAAAAATTCTTTTACTTTAAGTTGTTGTTTTTCTTCACAATGTGTATTCAACACTATTTTATAATTTAAAACATCCTATCTAACTAATATTTTTAGCTAATATATATATATATATATATATGAACACCTCAATATAACTAAACTTAGATAATTGAACACAATTACAATTAACTTCATTTAAATTAATTATATGTTTCCAATTCTATTAGAATTACCATATACATTAACCAACATTATAAACAATATACTATCATTACCTACAATTAAATACATGAATCGTAATTAAATTCCATTAATTACAATATATAGACTTAATTAAATTCTATTTTTATAACATTACATCCTTTGAGTTTTGTAGTAGATTAAAAATAATATTATTTTATTGGTCGATGAAAATGTATAAAAACTTTTTAATATTTGTGGTATTTTGACTTTATGTATAAAGTAATTGTGTGTATTATTGTATGTTTGTAATTTAAGTAAAAATCAATAATATTTTGGTATTAATGTATAATTATTTTTATTAAAATAAAAAATAAATACTTTTAAGTGAAATAAACAAAAATAATAAAAAGAGTTGGGACGAAAGTATAATTTACTAATATATATACATAGTTATAATTTTCAATTCTTTTAAAATCAAAATTAGGCTTACACACTCCACACTGCAATTATGTATATGAGATTATTAAATTCATGAAATTCTATAAATACCACTTCCAACTAAACCCAAACCCTAAAAACTTGCAGGGTGCAGTAGAGCCATGGCATCTCTGAATGTACTGCAATTCATGAATTTCCAATTATACCCTTCCTTCCTTCCTTCTTCCATTAGTGGTGGTTGATTTCAGGCGCCCATCGTGAAATTCCAATAGTGACCCTACACAGTAGATAGGCGACCGCCCTTAGAGGCAGCCGCTCTGCCGGCGGCGAGGGTTTCTGTCGGATTACGAGACTTATTATTACAATCAGAGATTCGACCATTTCAACTATGCAACGTTCCGACAGACGTACCTGGTACGCCGGAGATGAGGCTGTGCTGTGTAATTGATGCGACGCAGTTTAGGGTTTAGGGATAAGTGTACAGGTGTGTTTGTCTGTGAATTTTAGTTTTTGAATTTGAATTTTTTAATAGTAAAAAATTAAATTTGAATAGTTATTTGAATGTGAAATAAATTAATTATTTGATGTGATATTTTTTTTATAAAAGAAAATTAAATAGTAAAAACCAACTACAAAACCCACGAAAGAACATAATCTTACTTTGCAAGATTTTATTGCACTTTTTTTTTTTATTGCACTTTTTCCTTTTGGGTACTTTTGTTTTGTGCATACAAAATTGTTCATCTTAGCGTTAATGTCTATCATGAAGAGATCTTAGCGTTCTATTTTATTATACAGGGATTCAAGAAAGAGACGATCGAGTCATCATCAACGGGTGCCAATATATATTGCTAAAACGGGATCAGAGATCCGGGACCTCTCCTGGTTTACCAATTACCTCTGTCCGAACGTCGCATAATTAAAATGGTCGAGTGTCTGATCGTAATAATAGGTCTGGTAATTCGACAAAAAAAATCCTCGCTGCAGGACAGCAACTGCGTCTCAAGGCGGCCGACTCTCTATTGTATTGGGACAGTATTGGAATTTCATGTCGGGAGCCGAAAACAAATAATTTAGGCCTATGATTTGTATTATTTAAGATTTTAATTATTGTATTCTTTTATCTTCGATATTAGAAAATGTAAATCCAAACAATTCTCAGGCCAAACTCCAAACATTGGCCCAATCCAATTCTTAACGCAATGATTAGTTCATTTTTAATTATTATTAGACTTTAAAACGATTTAAAGTATATCTCAGTGGACATTTTTGTAGCGACGGCAGATTTTTATATTTTTAAAAAAAAAAAACAAATTATTATAATTGGGACAAAAATAAATAAAAAAAAAAAAATTATTATACTTAGACAAAGTGTCATTTTTTTTTTTCTTTCACTACTTAACACACCTAACATATTTGTCGTTTGAAAGTACATAAATTCCACTTGTATTAAAGTTTATTTTATTACATTTGGATGGAATGAATAGAGTATAAATATGTTTTGTTATGTTTTTTTTAATATATATCTTGGAAAAGAAAATATATATATTACATTTAAAAAAAAAAAACAACAAAAAAAAAAAAGTGAATGAGAGATATATATATATATATATATATATATAATTCGAATTAAAATGTGTTACATGGCCAACCAATAGTGTAAATGCAATGATGAATAATTTCCTTGTCTTTTTTTTAAAATTAAAGAAAAATGTGATTTGAAAATAATAACAAATTTGTCACTTTGGTGGTAAGGTAACAACAATAAATGGCAACAATTGAAAGAAAAAACAAATAAACAAAAACAAACAAACCAAGGGCAATGTGTTGTTTATTAATAATTTCAATTTTATTGTCACATTGCTAATCATTTTTTTTCAATAAATTTTATATTCAACATTTACCTATTTTTTATTTGTAATATTTTATTACTTATTCAAAATATTACAACAAAGACATAAATACACCTATAAAAATTTCAAATCGTAATTTTTATTATTCTCAAAATAATTTAAATATCAAACTATTTCTAAAAATCATACGGTGTCAAGCCGCGCTCGCATTGGATCACAACTTACTATGCCGGACAAGTAATAAACCTATTAATCTATTTTTTATTAATTCATAATTTTAGTATTGCCAATTAAATAATAAAATTAAAATTATTATTTTTATTATTTTTATGTATAGGATATTAAATCGGCCCTTAGCAAATTCGGAAGCAAGGAGGGTAATTATATACAACTCATTTGGTTACTCATTATTAAATTAATTATTAAAAATATTGATTTTTATTTGTGTGTGATATATAGGGTTCTTCAAGACTTGTCTCCAAGTATTTTAGCTGTGATTACACCTTATGGTATGATTTTGTGCTAAAATTCATTTATATTCATAAATATATATGATTTAAGTTTTACAATTTATTTGTATATCTATATATTATAGAGAGTAATAGATAATTTAATTATTTATTTCTACGGCACGTTCTCATTGTTTGGACATTGTTAGATCAATGGAATAGATCCAAGTTGGTTGGTAATGCAAAGAAAGATTGAGGTTGCAATTATTCAAGAATGGCTTAGACAGGATTATCAAAGTATGTATTTTGTAGGAGTTAAGCCGTAATTTAAATATTGGTCATCGGGCTTTAAGTAGTTTTTGGGCATATATAATTTTATTTTTACTTTTTGGGATATATTAATTATTAGGTACATTCATTTGGTTTTGTTTTTTTTTTTTTTTTGTAAGGAGTGAAATGTGTTATGATACTTTGAATTGAAGCAGATGAAATATTATAGTTTTTAAAAAAATTAAAAAATATAATTATATATGATACTATAACTGATTACATGTACTATTAAATTTGAAATTTTTGTTAAATATCCGAAAAGAATGACCTATATTTTTATTTAATACCTAACAAATATTGAATGTCCCAACTATAATATTATTTATGTCCTTTTGAAAATTGACTATTCATGAATTTTCTATTAATTATTTGATGAGTGGTACAAAATTTCTATAGCATAGAAGTTAACAAACTCAAATGATCTTCCAAATGGATATGAAAATTATTTTATCATATTAGTTTATGTAATAATAATAATAAGACATCTCTTCTCTATTGTTAAATAATTAGTTACAATAAGAAGAGGATGTAGTATGTGTGATGAATAAAATTATTAGGCATGGTGTTAGACTGTATTTTAAATATTGACAGACATATAAAATATAAATAATACAAGAGTTGTATCAATGTAATACAAACGCGCATTATATGAACTAGTATAATAATAATTCATACAAATATATATATATATATATATATACTATTATTGATTTCAACATAATATATATATATATATATGCTCATACATCACATTTTATAAGTATAAACTATTAAAAATATATGATTTCAATTAACACAATACAAGATTGCTTAATCGGCACTCTAATCATTTTGGAAATAAAAAATTAGTCAACGCATTTTGGTCTAAAATTATTATTCAATAATTAACCTTGCATGCAAATAATCCATTCAATTTTTATACTAGAGGTTACATATGATATTTCAGCATATATATAGGAAAATTATTTTTTTTTAGTTTCGTACATGACTACTCTTATCATTTTAAAAAAAAAAAAAAAATGGCCAAAATAATACTCAGACACCAAAATTATTGACATAGTACGCCAGATATTGTACGGATGACATGTAAAAACAATTGAAAATTATTTATGTCAAAGTTGTTTAGTTATGAGATTAATTCAGTATAGAGTCGTCTGCAACTTCAGCGCCCGAAGATCATCTGTACCTTAATTAATGATATATACGAATTATATCTTCCAAAAATAGGTTTTTAGTGATAAGATCTATCAGGAAATTTTGGGTTTGCATTATTATGTCGAATTATTACAATGTGCAATTATTCACCTTAGGTTGGATATACATAATACATATTGATATATAGGCCACTTTTAAAATAGGCTTTATGAAGCTAATTTGTGTTGTAGTAATAATAATAGAGTATTGAGTGATTATACTCAGGGGCCAATACACTTGTATTTTTGCCACCGGTAATTTTACTTTTAATAGAAAATTTATAATTTAATTGTGTTATTATAAAAAAAAAATTAAAAAAAAAATTAATGACCCATTATAAATTGTATCACTGTTATTCAATTAATTAAAAAAATAATGCTTATTTAAAATTTGAAATATTATGCTATTATTCAATTAATTAAAATCCAATAAAATTTAAATGATTAATTTACATTTTAAAATATAAATATAAAAAATAACATTATATTATTTTTTATGTTATCAATAATTATTTTTATTAAATAGTAATATTTATATATTATTCTATTTCTTTTATGACGTCCCGTCCCGACCGAACCTAATACCCTGCAAACTAGGTCTGAAGTGTCGGGAGTTTGAACGCATGATCATACGGTTACAAGTTCAACCCCCACACCACCAGGTCATCCCTTACGAGACTATATTATTCTATTTTTAAATTTATATATTGTGACATCATTAATTAAAAATATTTATACATCCACTTCTAATTACACTTTAGAGGGTGTTTGGGAAACAATTTTTTGAAGAGCTTTTAGGTTATTGAACACCTTGACCAGTCAAAAAACTAATTTAGGTGTTTGATAAATTAGCTTTTTGAAAGAGTTTTTTGGACCCAAAAAACTAATTTATTAAAAGCTCATCTACCCAGCATTTTGAAAGATCTTTTTCATTTTAATTTTGGTTATTCACTATTTACCCTTAAAACTTTAATTTATTTTATACATATAAATATATTTTTATAGTAGTATTTATTAATTATTGTTAATATATTTAATTTATTAAATTATATTTTTATTTTTGTAAATGTAAAATAATTATCATTATTAATTATTACATATAAATTCTTTTATTTGTAAAATATATAAATTTTTAAAATTAAATCAAATAGAAAAAACAAAGGTTATTAATTTATTTATATATATTAAAACAATAATTAACATAATAAAAGTATATATAGAAAAAAATATTATTTTATATTTTAAATAATTTCAATAAAAAATTATTATTTTTTAGTAAAAATAATTTTCTCAAATCTAAATAATAAAAATAAAAATTAATATGTTAAATATTTTATAATTTCCAATAATTAATAACAAAAATTCTCATAAATTTCAAACCGAAATAAACAAAATTAAATATTTTAAAAAATAACATATCAATGTCCTTAATAGTCATTTTATGTATAAACAGCTAATGTCAAACCGTTATTTTACTAAATACTTTAATACAAACCGCTAATTGAGTCAGCTAGTCAAACCATCTAATTGAATAAGCTAACAGCTAACAACTAATTGAATAAGCTAACAGCTAAAAGTTATTAGCTAATTGTCCAACGCACCCTTAATACAAGATATTTGTTCGGATTACACAGACACTTTTAAAGTTTTTTGTATTATTAATCAATAAAAATAAATAAATAAATCAACTCAAATATAATTTTTTACTATATTTAAAATTTATTAAAATTTCAAAACTTAAACAATCTCTATCATAGTCATCGACTCTTGGTTTTTTCAATTCTATATTTTATAAATCTTAATTGTCAAGTAAGATTATTGAATCCTCTCAAATCTACCATGCAAATTTCTCCATGTTTGCACCCCCAAACCTCTCTCAAATAAAGTTCAACAAACCCATAAAATATATCTAAATAAAATCACCAAAACTCATGAATTTCTTACTTTAAGGTGTTTCAAACTTCACTCCCACAAGAATGGTGTGTTCTTTTTTTTTCTTTTTTTTTTTTGTTAAAATGGATATTTACTTAAAATATGAATGTAATATCATGTGGGTCATTGGCCCATATATCAGATTTTAAACCCATATGAAATAGCATTTGATCTTATAGCCAAAAGGCCAAGAAAATTACTCACTCGATGGCTCTCACATATTTCATCATACTTTACATGAGATATTATTAATTAGGTCGTCATGCATGAGATCATCTCCTATCAAATAAATAAATTACAAAAGCAACAATGACAAGTATATATAAATCCTGCCCTAATACATTTTATTTTATTTTTTTTTGTCTTCCAAATAAATAAAATATTAGTACTATTATTACATATGTATATATATTTGCAAACGTTTTCTATATTAATTGGATAAAATATAGAAAATTTTTAATTAAATAGAAAATTATGGGGCAGGGCAAGGGTGGACGGGTGACCGGCGGGTGACCTACTTGTGGCCTGCTCTTCGCCTTTGCCTCGTCAGCCACGCATATATGGAATATAATATTTGGTTCCAATTCAATATATTTTTTATTTTTACTATTGGTAAATAAAAATATCTAAATTATTTGATTTTTTTGCTTTTTTTTAAAGTAAAAATAAAATGAATATTTATTTAAATACTTCGTGATACTTTAGTATTTAGATATAATTACTTTTATTATAATTAAAAATAAATATTTTTTAATGGAACAGACGAAAATGAAACGGATGGACCATTCCTTTGTATCTCGGTATAAATACATAAAATACTTTGTGTCTTATTTATTACTTAGAATGTTTTGTATTGAATTAAAGTAGGTATAAAATATCATCTCCGTCTAAAATTAGATTTGGTTGTAAATATGTATATAACTATACAAAGTTTATATAAATAAAAAATAGAATATTTTAAATAATTTTATTTGAATAAAATAAAAAAATAAATAATCAATTCTTTATTTTATAATTTCTTCTATTTTATAATTTTACTTTTAAAAGAAAAAAATTCAGGTAATGGTTCATCTTTAAAACACTATTAAATTAATGGTTAATAAATTATGTGATTATATATTTTATTCAAAAATTAATATTCAAAATATTTTGTTCTTTTTATTTTATAAAACTTGTATAATTAGGTGGACGTCTATAATTAAACATCAATGTAATAAAGTGTTTTGTACATTCTTCAATTTAATTAACACAAATAATTTCACATCAAAAAATAAAACATTAGATATTTTATACATTTGTACTAAAAATACAAAGAGTATTATATTTTATATTAATTAGTCTTATTGCAGTAATTATCTAAACAAATATTAATTTTTTCAAACTTCTCCAACGTCTCAAGTCACCTGCCACACAAAATTCGCTTAGTGTGACTTGTCTGTCGGACCTAGTTTGCAGGGTATTAAGTTCGGCCGAAGGTTTACTCAGTACATACTTTCGGATAACGGCTGCGGATTCCCTCGAAAAAAATATATATTAACTTTTTAAAAAAGAAAAATAATTACTTAATTTTTAATTACAAGTAAGTACACGACGCGGTTGCCGTTAATGTTAATGTTTGATTTTGGTTTAATCGCAACTACGTGACGTGGCAATCAATGGACTTGGCCGGTCACCGGTTGGTATCTATATTAGTTGGTGCACAATTTTTTATCCGTCAAAATCCAACTCATAGTCATAATCTATGTTGAATTATTCTATTGTAATAATAATTGCTCTGGTGCAAACCCAAGTCCCACGTCAAAAATTGTGAAAAAATTTTCACATCTTATAAGCCCAAAGTGAACTCTACTTCACTGGTACGAAATCTCTTGGAGAATATCCAAAAATAAATCCGTGCGCTCTTAATTTTCATATCAAAACCACGATCGTATTAAATTACTAAAAATTATGTTATATATATATATAATACTACTATTAGTAATTTATTGAAGTTTGGTTGTTGAAGGCACAATAAATATAAGGGTTGAGTTTTCAAAGTTGAAAGTTCTTTGTACCGATTAGTTTAATCTCTAAATGTAGTTATAATCAAGATCCTTCCATGAATCACAAGAAACAAATTAATTCACAAAAATTTAATAACCTTTGAAATTTTAGTTATCTAACTATTTATATATCTGTGGACATATTAATTTAATTTTTTGAAGTGTTATTAATTCATGTGTTAGATGTACTATTCATACTCCAAAAGTTTAGGCTATTTACAAATGTTCATGGGGATTTTTTTTTCTTTTTTTTATCATGTAATTTTTATAAAAATATATTATTACATCTTATAAAATATTAAATCAAATTTATTATTTTTAAATTCAAAACTAAAAGTGTGTTCATCCAGACAATTTTTGCCAGACATAATTCTCAATGAATATTATAAAAAATAATAATAATATATATTTAAAAGTGAGTGTGGTGTTTGTTCATTAAAAGTGTTTGTTTTCATATTTTTATAATTTTAAGTTTCCTTTAAATATTATATATAATATTTAAGTTCAATACAAAATATTGCATCTAATTAATAAATATTTTATTTAAAATATTAAAATAAAAGAAATATTAACAAGCCGAAGAATACACGATACGGTAACAAAAAGGAAATAATTATATTATGGTTTCTTGAAGGGATTTTCATGGGAAAAATGGCAACCAAAATTATGACGACTTACTTAAATAATAATAATTAAAAAAATCCGAAAAACAAAAAATAAAACGGAAGAAGTCAACTAGAAATGAATACTGAGAATACGTCCTTCATCAGCCGTATAGAAATAAAAGTACAAGGCTTCCAGCTAAACGTACAACCACTCAATGCACCTGTTAACCTACGTCGGTTCTACACGCGCCACATCGTCCCTCCGGCCCCGCTTTCAAACTTCAGTTATTTTTCGTTGTCTTTAGCCATCAAACACATTACATACACACGCGCATATATATACATACATATACATACATATATATATATGTCCGGCGTTTAATTCAGACTTACCGATTATTATAATTTCGTGCATAAGAATGATCGCAGTATTGGTTTAGAGAAATAACGACGTCAGAAAAAAGTGACAGGGATGCCGCTAACGAGTTTTCCGGCGGTGGTCGCGGCGGCGCTCTTGGCGGCGGCGGCGGCGGTGGGTGCGTTCGGGAAGAGCGTGACGTTAACTCTGGAGAGAGCGAGTCACGAGGGCTTTGAGCTGAGCCGAATCAGACACCTCGACCGGGTTCGCCACGGCCGGTTCTTGCAGTCAAACGGCGTCGTTGAGTTCCCCGTCGGCGGCACTTATAATCCTTCACTCGTCGGGTACACATATATATATATATATATTTGTAACATATATTTGATTGTGATTTGGAAAGTGATTATTGTTAAGAGAATTAAATAAATTTGCAGGCTATATTATACAAAAGTAAAATTAGGGACTCCATATAAGGAATTCTACGTGCAAATAGACACAGGCAGTGATGTGCTGTGGGTTAATTGCAACCCCTGTTCTGGCTGCCCAAGATCCTCTGGTCTTAAGGAGGTAAACAAAATTCAAACAACCAAAAAGATTACGATCAATGTCAATGGATATGAAGCTAATTTTGGATTGTCATTAAGACATATGGACCAAAGAAAAACGTGACTTGTATGAAATGAAAACTGCAGATCACCTTGGAGTACTTCAATCCATCGGATTCATCGACGGCATCGACGATTTCATGTTCCGACAAGCGATGTTCATTGGGGGGACAATATTCGGAATCCTTATGTTCCGGCCAGAATCGATGTGGGTTTAAGTTTCAATACGGTGACGGGAGCGGAGCGTCGGGGTATTATGTTTCAGACACGGTGTATTTGGACAGTGCCGTAGGGAACTCTGCATCGAACTCCTCTACACCTATTGTTTTCGGGTAAGTACTTACCTGTCAATGTAAGAAGAAATTCGAAAACAAGATAATATCGACGCAAAGTCGTGCGAGTGCAGCTGTAGCACAACGCTGACGGGTGATCTTACGAGGAAAGAAGGCGCCGTCGATGGGATATTTGGATTCGGACAGAACGGCTTGTCTGTGATCACACAGCTTTCCTCACAGGGAATTACACCTAAAGCTTTTTCTCATTGCCTCAGCGGCCAAAACGGCGGAGGCGGCATATTGGTGCTCGGCCAGGCTGTCGATCCGAGCATCGTGTACACTCCGCTCGTCAAGGGGCAGTATGCATTCGTCCCTTTTAACTCTCAGACAATATATTGTCTGATCGATAACATTACGAGCATTTCAATTCACTAGTATTCTCGTCTAATTTTCAGGTCACATTACAACGTAAATCTACAAAGCATTTCCGTGAACGGACAAACACTAGAAATCAGCCCGTCTGTATTTGAAACATCGGACAACACGGGAACCATCATAGATTCCGGGACAACCTTAGCATATTTCGCAGACGGGGCTTATGATCCTATAATCACGGCAGTGAGTCGACACTTCCATTTAAAGTTTTTAAAACCCACAGAAAAATAATTACCTTCATTTACCATATCTGATCTTTATTCCCTTCGATCGTTCATTCATTCGTGCAGGTAATGCAGATAGTTTCACCATCCACACAAACTATTTCATCCCCCAATGGAGACCAGTGTTTTTTTACCACCTCCAGGTTTCACTGAGTTCAAAACGTTGTATTCTTGATTGTCTGTTGATTCCCCCCCACCTCGAGTTCTTCATCATTTTGGTTCCTCTGCAGTGTCTCCGAGGTTTTTCCTAACATCAGTCTCAACTTCGCTGGCGGTGCATCAATGGTGCTGATGCCTCAGGATTACCTTCTGGAGCAGCATTCTAGAGTAAGTCAGTTCACATTGTCAATCCTGATATATAATAGAGAGAATAGGCCGTGCTGAGCATAGGCCGTAGGATGTTAGGAGCTATAGAAAATGCGAGTGCTTTAGTGTAAGAATGTGCTGAAGAGAAATTACATCTTCCTACAATTTAGAGTTTGATAATGTACTGTGATTTGTTCTTTTGATTTTCTTGTGTAGGTAGGTGTTTCAATATGGTGCATTGCCATTCAGAAAACCGAGGGCCAAGAGCTTACCATTTTAGGAGGTATAAAATGAAAACTCACCTCGATTCTCATTCTAGTTTGTTGTCTCTTTGCAGACATCATATATTACTTTCTTACACAACACAAACCATATTGTGCAGACCTAGTTTTGAAAGATAAGATTGTTGTCTATGATTTATCCGGGGAGAGGATTGGATGGGCAAATTACGACTGTAAGTTTCCGCACTCTATTCTTTAGCGTTTTACGCAGATACAATGATGGGATTATAATTTGATGCAGGACAATTAAAACTTTGAATGACATTCTACGAGAAAAATAATTAAAGTATCAAATTCATTATGATTTATGAACATGTCCTAAATGTATGAGATGTTAGCTCTGTGTTTTGATCCTCTAGAAACCAATTCTGACAATGATGATACATGCATTTTGTGATCTATATGTAGCTCTGACATGCAATAGTTTTCAACTCAAATTCATGATGTAGGTTCGTCGTCTATAGAAGTATCTACAAGCAACAGCAACACAACTCAGTCTGTAGACGCCGGGAAACTTGACAACGAAAACAACAGCTCAAGACTACGATATGGGCCGTATATGCTAATACATAACATAGCCATGGCTTTCTTATTGCATATTGCATTCTTTGGTGTTTACATGTTTTTCTAACTTCGATAAAATATATACATGTACAGACATTAATGAAACATGACAATATAAGTGCACCACAAACACACAGATATAGCAACTTAAATTCCATCTGCAATTTTGTTTTCACGACACTTGTTGTAGAAACAAATATCACATGAATAGCCATTTTATTTTGTAGAGGTTGAAACTCATTCATCTGCTTTTCCCCTACAACTTTGTGAGTCTTAAACCTACCACATTGTTATCATTATACACGTTGATATATTATTTATATGTGCATAAAATAATCAAATTAAATATTATACATTTATACCTATTCATTTAAGAAAAAAAAAAACAAACAAACAAAAAATGACAATATTTAACATAGATAAGTTCACCAAGTGTCTGTCATGGGCCACTCTCAACACATCACAATCTTCACCCATCAAATTTGACTTGTCACTCCCTATAACAAAGTTCTCCTCACCTCCTTCATAGTTTTCACAACCCCCAAACTTTTTGGTCACCAACTTCCCTAATGGATGCAGAAATCGACAACACATTACTACATGACTTCAAATGCCCCCTTATGATGAAATAGAGGCAAACCATGTGTGCCCAGCAATCCAATCACTGCTGAAATAACTTGTGAGACAGACACCAAAGAAAAACTTATCTAATCACCCAAACTCTTCATAAGTTCCTAACAAGCACCAATATCTTGTAGGAGAATAACTTGATAGAATTGGAAAGAACAGTGGAGCCCTCATGGCCAAAACTGGTTGAACCACTGGAGAAGATCACAGACAGGCTAGCGGTCGTGTGGTGGCCATCTTAGCTCTGTGAAAGACTCTCCTCAGCTAAGAGCTGCAATTGAAGAAATCCAGGTATGCCACTCTTGATCAAGACATTCGGATGTGTGTATATGTTTGTTCATCTGATTGTGTACGTTGCAGCCGAAGCAGACTGAATTCGAGCTGAAGTTAAGGCAGAGCAGGACCATTTATGAATGGTTTAAAAGCTCTTAGAGAATCATCAAGCTGGGAAAGCTTGAGTGAAGCAAAGAAAAGAGTTGTGGAGTGTGAGTTTGTCAAAGTAGCCAAAAGTCTATATTATAGAATACTCAAATTTTAAATATCCTAATGAAAGCCTGACACAGTCAAGCTGAAAGAAGCTGGTTCCCATGGAGTTTCCTTTGAGCATGGTTCAAGAGAGCGTTTTAATGAGATAGAGCAGGTACTTTGGATAGAATGATAATTTTAATTTGCACTAAATGATAGTCCATTTCCCTAATTCTGTGCATTGGGAATTGGGAAAACTTGCTCAAATTTTTGAAGAGAACATTTTAGATGCTACAGTTTGAGAAAGTCATCACAGAGACAAAAAAGAAATCGAGGATGTGCCTTTTACAACCTTGGAAATAACTGCAGAGAGTACAGTTCTTAAGGTGCTACATTTTTAGCAATTTCTATTTTTCCCTAAAAATTGATTTCCTCCCATTTTCCTTCTCTCTAACAACTGGCCCTTGGATTATAACGGGCCCGAACTATCACTCTATATTGCAACATCAATGCAACAGATCGTTAAGGGAGGAATTTTTCCGTGCATACATCGCAGGCGCATCAGATGAGGTCCTAAACAATGCACTAATCATTGAACGCATTTTGGCACTTAGGCAGGAGAAAGCAAAGCTTCTTGGCTATAGAAACTATACTGAGGTATCATACTGTGGGAAATTTAAAATGATGCCAAATGCTAATTGCACATCTCATAATATATATACTGAGAGTTTTAACACTAGGTCAGCTTTGAGACTAAAATGGCAACCCTGGATAAGGCAAAGGATCTTATAGAGAAGCTTTATGCTGCTTCTTGGGGACATGCAGTTAAGGGTGTGTTTGGACTTAGGATGATTATGTTCCGTATGTGGGTAGTATGTATTATTTTGATTTGCTGAATTACATGTGATTCTCTAGACATGGAAGAGCTTAGAGAGTTTGCCAATAAGGAGATGCATTATATGAGTCAAAACATGGCCTGAATGAGGTTGGTTTCTCATCTAATGGTTTTCCATTGCCAAGGTTATAGAAAAGGTATGATGACTACTTTACTTCATACAATGAAGCATTCTTCAAGTTCAAAATCAAATAATATGTTTCTCTTAAGGAGTCAAGTATATAAGTAGTCACATACAATAGAAAGATGAGAAGAATGCAGATTACATAACCTAATAATGATTTACAAACTAGGTTAGATGTGCTTCTCTGAACTTTCTCTCCTCAATTACGTTAACGCATCCCAACACCAAAGTATACTTCTAAAGTAGCTATAAAATTGTGCTAACTTGAGCTGCAAATAAAATTACCCCTTGTAAAATTCACATTTGTCTTAAAAACATAAAAGATATCCATACAATGGCTTGTTACCAACCATTTCTGCAGGATATGTAGCATATCTTTTACAAGAATAGTGAACTTTACATGCGGCATTGTCCTTCAGCAGTCAACTTTGCCAGATTATATACATTTCCACTTTATACCAATAATATCCTTTAAGTATTTCCCTTCTCTAGTATCAAAAAGCATCATTTGGAAGCGTGGTCTATTTATTTTCTAAAGTTTTTGAAAGAAGTATTCAAGCATATGGTTGATTCTTCAAATTTCGCAGAAAGCTTAAGAGGGGAAGTTCCTGCTAATGTTCCTTTCAGTTTGCATCAGCCATATATGATCATTATGCGCTTCAATGCATAAAGTAAACAGTCACTGACTTCCACAATATATTTAGCAAATCAGATACTATGCAACTGCACTTAGACCATGACAGTAAATCACAGCAGCATGTATTTAGCACCCAACAAAACAATTCAATATACAACAGATTCTTGCCTGCTACACTTCTTCGTCATTCTTCCAAGAGGGGTTGGTAGAAAAGTTTGAAGGCTTCCATGACTTCAAGATACCACATCGATTCCCTATCTGGAAATGCGGAAAGATTAATAAGTTTGTGTGCCTGCAGAGAATCAAAAACATCAGATATCACTACAGATAAATCACTCTATTTCCATGTACGTTTTTTTGCAGCATTGAGCCTTCGTTACATAAAAGATGAAGTGGCTACACCAAATTTCCAGAAAATATAACCTAAACCACAAAGCTTCAGTAACAGGAATCAATATTTGAGCAGAAACCATTTCAATTTAACCACCATTCGGCACTGGGACTAACTATTATACCATAAAGTACAGATATCGTTAATCGATAAGAAATATTATTGGAATTTAAAATATGCGTTCACCTTAATCACAGGGAGATCCCCTTCACGGTCCGAATAAAATCCAACGACCATCAAGTACATTCCTAACAAGCACGCAAGTAGATCAATCAAGCAACTGGACAGTTATTAGGACAAAACAGCAACAAATAATCGAAACAACCGACCTGCTTCCCAGCGCTGCCTGCGAAAATCGCTGGTCAAGGACAGCTCAATAGTGGCGGTTCCGTCGTCGAGGATAAATCGACCGCTCTCATCACCATCGGCGGAAGGTGTGGAGACAAGAACACCCTGTGATTTCTAGACCTTAGAGTTTATCGGTATTGGTTCAATTTACCTGTAATATATGTAAGTGTCGAGAATCGACCTACCTGGAGCCAAGCGCGCTGGAAAAGAATCCCGCCGAGGGCGTAGGCGTTCTGCGACGGCGCACGGCGGGCCGACCTGAGATGCACGGCGAGCAGTTTTAGCGCCGCTAGATTGTAATCCATTTTATTCTCGCAACGTTTGTTTCCCTCTCGATTTTCAAACTGTCGGACCAGGCATATAACCATCAATCAGTTCGAACATTGGGGGAGGGATCGTTGGTCACAGTTCCCAACGGTCCAGCGAATGACTACCTGACACGTACTCATATTGTTTTTATTTTTTAAAAATTAAAATTAAAATTCTTCCCCCCACAAATTTTGCAATTTCTTCCGATTTTACAATTCTGCTTTTTCTAATTACTCTTATTAGCATTTGGAGTTTCCTGTCGGAAGGTCACGATTCAAGCAGCAAGATAGGGTCTGTTTGTTCTGTGACATAATATAAAATACCATTGTAATTTATATTTTGTAATGAGGTTCACTCTTACTAACTTACGAAAATAAAATATATATATAACCCTTAGAATATAATGGAGGAAATAATAATAATAATAATAAAATATTACTACATCTCTTCCTTGGACAATTTATTTTTTTTTTATTTTGATTCGTTTTGTAACAAAGTATATATATTTTTTTTAGTAATTATGTTGTCTACTTAATATTACAAATATTATTTCAATTTAAATATATTAAACAAATATTATTGTCTTTATATCATACAATACTAACAAGAATAGTTTAATATTTTTAATTTTATTTCTACTTCATCCCAATATAATACTAATATTTTTAAAATTCCATGCAAAAAGTAAATAGATTGATAGATAGATAGATAGATATGGGACGAAAAGAGTATTTTTGTCCACATGAATTTAATAACATGTTTTCATCATTTAAATTGGTCAAAAATTATGTGAAGTTTATCTAGTAATGAAGACATATTGTTGATACGTGAATAGATTTACGTCTATAATTATATACGTCACATAAATTAAATAGTAAAAATTTTCGGAAGACTAATTGAATAAACTTGAAAATTTATTGTCAAAAGTTGCAAGGCAAAAATATATTTGTAAAATTATATTTTGCAGTCATACAGAATTTTATATACAAACATACAAAAATTACGCTATCTCAACTATATTGTTGCCCGAAATAGAATATGTACAACAACAAAATATACTATGTAGATTTATTGAGACATATTATTTCACTAAGTAACATAAGAGCACAATACTTTACGAATAGAAGAAATTTTTTTGGTAACGAATGTCGTTTGACAATGTAACGAAATTATGTTTAAACATATATTGAATAGATTGTTAGCATGTATTTGTTGTTATATAGTATGTGTTATATATACTATTATTATTGATGTCACGAGTTTATATTTTATATTTATTTTATATATATAATTTGTTTTATTCATTTATATTTCATGTGATTGTCGACATATATTGTATGTATTGTAAAACTTATTTTGCATTTTGTATATACTCAGTTTACATATCGGACTGGTTATGATGTTAATTGAAAAAATAAGGAACCATGGACATATAAAATAGTCGAACTTAATATCCTGCAAATAATTAACAGATAAATCACAACAAGCGAACCATCTGTGACAGGTGACCTGAGGTGCTTATATTTATTGTTTGTACCGTTCTAAATTTTATATATTAGTATAATAAAAATAATAATTCTATATATATATACTCTTTTTTATCAGATTTTAAAGTCACATTTACCTTTTGCGTCATTATACTTATATTAAAAATATCTTTACATTTTTTTTATACATTATCTTTCTATTAGTATTATAAAATATTAATGAAAGCATTTTTTCAGTTTTTTCCTTTGGAGCGGGACGGAAATAATATAATTTAATTAATATTACACCGAATTTATAAATATCCATTCGAACATACTTTCATAAATCAAATGCCCTTCTCTTGTACGGAAAACATAAAACCAACACAAACAATAGAAAATATAATAATAATAATTTAAAGGAGAGAGAGTCCAGCAGGGAGGAGATCATCGGACAAAATCCTGTTCGCAGCCTCGGTGGGGTGAAAGCCGTCCCAGAAAACATACTCCGTCGCATTCTTGCACGTCCCCGGCGACTTCCCGTTGCAGAGAATCGACGTCTCCACCAGGCCGCTCCCGCAGCACGCCTTTCTTGCTTCGAAGAAACCGTAGTCGGTGGGCTTCGTCACGATGTCCAGAAGAGGCTGGTAAATGTCGAGCACGACGAGGTTCAGACCAGAGAGCTTCCCTTGCAGCCTCTGCGACGTCGCGTTCAGCTTCCCGTTGAACGACGCCGCTGCCCTGTTCATCTTCTCCACGCAATCGTTCCGGTCCTCGCCGAAAATCGTGATCACCGCCGGCACGCATCCCAGCGGCGGCAGCGTCGTCACGCCGATCTTCCTAGCGCCTAGTCCGTACACCTCCTGCGTGTGTCATTGTCGAAAAACTATATAATTCAAATGATGTAATTTTGTTGATATGCTTTGAATCTAGTTTGCTTGTTAAGTTTTTACGGAGTTTCACTGCCCGACCAACAAATCGGGGTCAAGGAGGGTGAAATCCCCTTTGCCTGTGTCCGGGGCGCAGAATGGCTCCTGCCTTATTGGATTTTGAGTTCATATTAGGATAAGTCTGTCTGATGTATTCTCTTAGTTTATTTTGAATAAACTTAAAAGATATGAAATCTTAGTTAATTTATACCAGAAATCGATAACTGTAATTTTGTAATTTAGCCATCATCAACAATAAATTTGTTCTTCGTTTCTACTCATAGACGTAGCCAACACGTTGTTGGTGAACCATATAAATATGTGTCTCTTTTATGTTTATGTTTGTTACTCAATCATTAATCATAATCTATTACAACATTTTTCTTAAATTTTTAGGTGAAATAGTAATTTTTTTAACATGGTATCAAAGCAATAGGTTATGGTGGAAAGTATATATATATATTCCCTTCATCCACCTCTAAGATCATATTTTCTTTTTGCGTACTTAATTTTAAAAAAATTTTATATTTGTATAATTTTTTGTATAAATATTATTATAAGACACTAATGTAAGTATTTTGTACTTTTTTTTTAATTTGTACTATGTTTTGATATAATAATTAATATTCAAAGATCAACGCGTAAAAAGTAAATGAAACTCTTAGAGCCGGACGAAAATAGTATATAATATATAATTAATGAAGTATTTTACGGTCAGCTTAAACTTTTAGGTAAGATGGTTATTTAACAATCATCAATTATCGAGCATTGTTGTTGTTGTGCGTCGTCGTAAGTTATTCGATTACCTCTACGAACACGGCGTACGACTCCAAGAGGATGTCGGAGAATTGATCCACTGAGTACTTCTCGTAGAGCAGAGGATTGACGTAGTAGTTTTGGACAAAGTCACTGCTCCCGGCGCTGAGGAAGTGGATCGAACCGTTCACAATCGAGGACGCGTTGGCGGGGCCCACAAGCGCGGCGAGTTTCTTCTGATACTCCTTGTAATGCTCGACCTGTTTCGACAACGGAATGGTGTTCTGCAGGTCGAGAGATCACCCGAGTTCAGACATCGAAATCGAATGCCATTAGTACATATAGAACTACTACATCTATACATACATATATCTCCGCCGTTTCATCGTAATACCCCGACGAGGCAGAGGCGAAGTTAGCCCCGATCAAGAGGTTTTTTCCTGTGGCATTCTTGCTGAGGTAGGCCGGGGGGTAAGAAGTGAATCCGAGGTTCTCCGCTGTCATTTTTCGGATAAGGTGAAAAAAATGTTCGAGCATGAGACATTTCGACTATTTTTAAATTTACTACGATGTGTTATATTTGTATAAAGGCGATGATAGTACCCGTGAAGTCGGAGGCGAGCTTCCCGTTGCAGAATCTTCCGGTGGGTTTGTGATCGACGAAGTCTCTGCCGTAAGGCGGGAAGTTGGCCTTGACGATCGTTTCGAGGTAGTTGTTGTTGCCAGCGTCGACGACGGAGTCGCCGAATATTAGGAGGGCCGGGACTAGGGGCTGCCCATATGTCTTGCTAACAATGTAGAGGAAAATGAAGAGAAAGGTTAAATTTTTTGCCATGGTTGTATTGATGGAATTTAGAGTGTTTCTTAATTCTTAAGCGAAGAATAAGGATCAATTTATAGAGGTTTTGGTAATGAACATTTGAATTAAAATAAGTAAATAAATTTATTTTTGTTGTAACGAATGGTAATTGAAAATTTGAGGGAATTGAAAGCCTTGTGATTGAAGATGTAAAATGGGTTCGATTGGGTTAATGGGTTTTTTTTAATTTTTGTAATTTTTTAGGGGAGATTTGGGAATTTTTAGATCTGATAAAATTGGAGATTGACACGAAATTGAAGTTGAAATTGAAATAGAAATAGATTATGATTTTATATATAGGTAGGTAGGAAATTTGTGTGATTTGGTGTAGAAATGAAAAATGGCATTAGTTACGTTGTGTGTCTTGGTAAAGTAGTGTTTGTGAGCTGGCTTGGCTTGGCTTTGCAAGCTGTGCATTAGCAACTAAATATTCAGTATATGAGATATATAAATGGATGAATAATATTTTAACGCCATCTCCAACCTACATTCCTTTTCTTTTTTTTTTTTTAAAAGTAAAATTATATATCAATTTAAAAAATAAAATTACATACAATTTTTTGGAGAAAGTGCACAGAACCATGTGTGAGAGGTGACCGTCACGGTCACGAATCCAACTCCTACACCACCAGGACATCCCTTACGGGACTAATATACTCTTTTGTTCATGCAAATGTGTATTTATTTGATCAAGCATAAATTTTTAATAAAAGTGAGTAATAATTTTTACTTTTTTATTGTAAAATAATGCAAAAATATAATTTTTTTATGAAGTAAGAATATTCTTTTATGAAAATTCAAAAAAAAATATAAAAATTTGAATAACGGAAAAAAAATATATAAAGTGACAACAAATAATAATAATAATAATAATAATAATAATCCATATAATATATGTTTATTTAACATGATCTTAGGAGAATTTTAAAAATATTACATAATATAAGTTTTTTTTTAATTATTTATTTAAATATGATGTGCTTTCATCTAACTTCTTTTTATTACTATTTAAATATGCATTCTATCCTACCCATAACCAATTGATCAAATTGATAATAATTTGATAGAAGTACTTGTAAATAATTTTACATATGGTGAATGGGCCTTTTTATTACCATTCTGTGTTTTTGTTTTCATTTTTCTTCTTGAATTTGAAATTCACATTGACACATCATTTTTTAGAAGCTTTTTTTTTATTTTGACTATTGTAGTTTGTTCTAATCTCTGTTTTAATTCAAATACCATCTTCTATCAATAAAATGACTTATTTCTAATTTCATTTAGTGTTATTTCATAGCTTTTATTATTTAATCTTCGTATGTTCTAGTGAAACTATTTTCTTCGTTTCAAATTAAATGGAATTTTGTAGTAAATTAATAAGTAATAGTATTTTATTAGTCAATGAAAATTAAAGGTATTTTGTATTATTGTATAATTAATTTTTTAAAAAAAATATATTAAAAAATAATATAAATATGATAAACGAAAATGATAAAAGAAGTACTTTGAATTTGAGAACTATTATTTTATTTATACCAAATATTGCATTGAATTATTGTTTAAATCCAAATCCAAATTGGAATCTTCATTCATACATTTTCCACAATTAGTGTTCAAATTTTAAGGGATTGATCGCAAAATTTATTATAATTGTCTATCTAACGTTGTCTTTTTTTAGTCTTTATATAAAATACCAACTGTAGACACTAAAAATATATGTCTAAAATCAATTAAATATCATGTATTTTGGAAGAAAATAAAATTCCAATAAAATAAATATATGGTATTTAATTATGCACATATGTTAATTTTTGTACAATAAATATCAACCATTAATGCAAAATCTGCTTAAAATGGAAGATATCGTACAAATATTACGTGCATAAATAGAGCCATAATAAATTTGGCGGCAAAATAAATTAATCTTGTCAATAAAGGAAGTATATAAATTAATATCTTCCAAACAAGGCAATGATATAAAGATCTTGTCAATAAAGGAAGTATATAAATTAATATCTTTCAAAAAAAGGCAATGATATAAAGATTTTGGCGAAAAAGGAAGGTGCATAATCAAATCCGTCAAAAATGGAAAACGGCATCCGAGGGAAAAGGAAAGATTATAAAATCTTTCCATCCACGTGGCACCATCCGAAAAGGAAGCCAAGGCCACCCTCCCCTATAAATAGGAGCCTTGGCCAATTCATTTAGACACCGAAGTTCATTTGAAGACTCGCGCAAGGGTAAGTCTCTCTAGACTCTCTGCAATGTTCTTCATTGTTCTTCGTGTCCTTCGAAGCGTTCTTCGTCGAAAAGTCACCGATTTGGACAAATGATCCAATATTGGTTGACGAATCGATGAAGTTAACGTTCTTCGTCGTATGTCCGAGCCGGAGGAAGGATCAAATCTCTCAAAGCTATCGAGGAATCCATCAAAGCCAAGGAAGAGCCTCCAAAGTCGCTCCCAAAGCTTGAAGATGTTCGTCGCGTTCTTCATAAAAGGCGCAAACCAGGCCCTTTTCGATCCAAAAGTCAAAGGGACACGCCGCCAAAAGCATTATGGAGCACCAAATCTCTCCCTCAAAGATCAAATTCCGTCGGATCATCCAAAGGAGGCATCAATCCAAAGTCGACGATCAAAATCGCCAACATGGATACCAAAGTCCTTCAAAAGTCGGCGAAGTCAAACCGAAGACCAAAATCCCTTCGGATCAAAGAAGCCACCCAAATCCAAATTGGAAAAATGGATCGACCCGGAGAGAGAATCAAAGGATCCGAATAGAGAATAGGACCCGCATTAAATTTAAATACAAATATAATTTGTACAAATTTTGTGTTTATAAAAATATAACACAATATTTTTGTCTACACCAACATATAAAAAAATAGATATTAATTAATTTATCAAAATAATATTTATACTAAAATATATATTATCATATATATAATCTCACATTATAAATATAATATTAATTAATCTCATTATTATATAATTTAATAAAATGATATTAAACATTATAATAATATTCTAAAAGTAAACACACTCTTTGGCCATAATGTTTTATTATTATCGATTTATGTGATAAGAGTTTTCTCATAATTTTTTTAAATATTGATGAATAATGCTTTAAATGTACTTTAAAAAATAACGTACAGTATTCCTTAGTGTGTGGTTTTTTTTTTTTCTTATTTTTTAATATTATATTACATATTTATTTATTTTTTGTTCAATATATAAAATTTAAAATTGATTATTTACAGCCTCGTCAGAGATGGATTTAAACTTTTTGACGCCTCAAGTCATTCGATTTTGGTTGTAAGCTTTTCTTTAATTTGGGCCTACATGCATTTTGTGATGGGCCGATCTTGCTGGCCTTATTCTTCTTCAGGCTAAATTAAATTTAACTAATAATAATAATAATAATAATTTTGGTATAACACTAGCTTTTTTCTTATATTTCTTCTGTTCCCATAACTAAGTATCCATTTGTTTTTTATGCATTAATCTTTGGATATTAATTGTTATATCAAAACGTATTACAAATCAAGGAAAAATTGCAAAAATATTTCTATTAGTGTCTTATAATACTAATATAATGATATTTGTATAAAAAATTATACAAATATAAGGATATTTTTAACGTTAAGTACAATGACGCAAAAAATAAATGGATACTTTGTTATGGGATGGAGGGAGTATTTGTTTATCACAATTTTTTTGTTATTATTTTTAATTTACAATATCTCAAAATTTCGACAACTTTTCTTTATATATTTCTTTTGTTATTCTAAATACATGATAAAGAAGATTCGTTACAATCATCTTCTTCATTATTATTTTTATCATTGTTGTTCAGTTTTTACTCTAACAAAAACTTATTAACTTTAACAAAAAATACCGTTATTAAACTTTATTACTTTTTAAGAGAACTGATTACCTTCAATAAAAATTTAAAAAAATAAAAATAAAAATTAAATACTATCCAAATTTGTTTTGAAATTTTAAAATTTTAAATTATAATTTTAATATAAATTATTTTTATATATTTAAAATTTATTAATTAATACTCACGTTTTATATATCATATTTTAAAATTATTTGTTATTCTCTACTTTTTCATTTACTTCATATATTATTTGTACAAGATTTGGTAATAAAAATAATAATTTTTAAATTATATATTAATATATTTTGATTTATGCATAATATATTCAATTATTAAAATTTATATAAGTTAATATTTAAAAAAGTTAAAATATAATATTGTATAAAAATATTATTAGACAATAAAAATATTAATAAATAAAATAAATTATTTATATTTTGTTTGTATATTATTACATTATAAAAAATATATAGAAATAAATATATTATTCTGAATTTATAAAATAGTAAAAGTAACTGGTTGAAAGTGATTTACTATAACAAATAATAATTGAAATGGTTTGAATGTTGAGATGTATATGATGTGGACGAAAGAGATTAAAAAATAATAAAATAGAAATAATGACTGTAATGAATACTCAAATAAAATCATTGAATGTATTTGATTTATGTTTTCTAGGAGTGAGCAAAATATCATAAATCCAAAAATTCAATCCGAATCAAACTGAAATTTAAAATTTGGTTCGGATTTTTCGGATTTTTGGATTGGATCGGATTGAATTTTTAACAAATTTCGGATTTTCGGATCGGATTGGATCGGTATACTTAAAATCCGAATCAATCCGAAATATAATATTTTAATATATTTTTTTATTATATATATTTAATATTTTCTTAGAAAATATTATATTTTAATATAAAAAACTCAAATTTATTAATTATATTTTAATATATTTAATTTATATATATTATATATATTTAATATTATAAAATAATAATAAAATTTTAAAAGAATTTACAAATTTAAAAAAAAATAAAAATATTTACAATTTCGGATTTTTCGGTTTGGTTCGAATTTATTAGTTCGGATTTCGGTTATTTCGGTTATCTCGGTTCGGTTCGGATTTGTTTTTTCAAAAATTTCGAATTTTCGGATCGGTTTGGATTTGGCAAATTCGAACCAAAATTGACAAAATCCAAACCGAAAATCCGAATGCTCATCCCTAATGTTTTCTAAATTTTTATTTTTATTATTTTTAAAATATAATAATGATTAGATATAATATTCTGGATTAAATTTTTTTAATAGATAACTATGAAATTTTCTAATAATAATAATAATAATAACGACGAAAAGTAAAACTAGTCTTTTAAAAAAAATGTTAAATTCGTAAAAATGTGTTAAAATCGTAACATTTTGAAACACCGCAACAAAATAAAACAAATAAATAAAATGAAACGGTAATAGTATTGTATAATGGGGCTTGCTTAATTTTTTAAAACCCGTCTAAAATAAAAGAAAATAACAAAAAAAAAAAAAAAAAAGGGAAAAGGTTGCAAGAAACACGTGTGTTGTTATCTTCTTGGACGGACGTGGACGTTGCGTCGGTGTTATGCACCCGTCGTATTAAATACATTTTAAATTATATATATTTCGTTCGTGACATATATTTTGGATATAATTTTATACATATGAAAATTTAAGTAAAATATGATTATTAGGTAATTAAAAAATATATTAATAAAAATAATTATAAATTAAAATTAAAAAAAATAAATAGTTTAATTAATATTAAAAAAATTATATAGTTTAAAATTTAAAATGTAATTAAATTAGATAATCAAAGTTTAAAAAAAAATAATAATAAAATAAAATTATGCGAGACGAAATAAAAACAAATTATGTAAGATGAAGGGATGAAGTACAATTTTAAAAACTACTTTAATGGATGTGTTTGCCTAGTACTCGGAAGTGCCAGATTATATTACATTCAATTTTTTATTTATTTATTTTATTAAGTTTTCAGTTTGTCAAAGATAAACTACACATAGGATTTGTGTGTCCAGTAACCTTTTATCTGACATGTTTTTAATATATATAATACATATTACATCATCTTATAAAAATCAATATTTAATATAAAATATTATTTTTTATATTATCAATATATTTTTATTAAAAAATAGTTCAAACTAAAATACAAAATGAACAAACACTAATAGCATGCGGAGATGTGTGAAGAGGCCAAAATCGCAAATCATCTCTTTTAATATACTCTCTTCCCGTCTACTAAAAAATAATTTATTTGGATCCGGCATAAAATTTAAAAAAATATATATTTTATTGAAAAAACGATAGATAATTGGTAATATTTTTGTAAATTTAGTTAAAAATAAAAGTAAATGAAAAGAGATAATGCAATAAAATTAGTGATATTTGTTGTAAATAAGTGTTAAATGAAGAGTAATAATTAAATGTTGATTGTTGACTTTGTCAAAATTAGTAAAATGATAAATTAAACAGACCTATTAAAAAAAGTGACAACAAATTTGACGGATAGAGAGTATAATAACCATCTTTTTCGATAATAACTCTGAACTTATAAGAGGATTAAGAAGATAACAAGAAGAAAATAGAGTGATTGAAAATTTAGAATTTTAAATATGATTTAGAAAAATAAAATGGAGTGAAAAAATACAAATGGGCTAAAATATCTATTTTTATCTAAATTAAAATTAAAGTACATTAACGAGGGAACAAAGAAATATTTAAAATTTATACTGTTCATTCCATTTTTTTCTTCCAAAAATATCATATCAAATATTTATTTTTAATTTTTTATATTTTACTAAAAATCAATTTTACATTCAAAACATCACATCAACACCTATTTATTTTTTCTATTTAAATCCCAATTCAAAATCCAAACCCCGAACAAACACACCGTTTATATATATTGTATAAATTTTAGTGATATGTTTCAACACAAATAAATATTAGTATAAATTAGAACAAATAACATTACCTAAACACAATTTAAAATAATAATGTGTGTTTAAACTTCATGAACTCTTATGATTTTGTTGGCTACTCGATGACTATAGGATACGAGTACTATCCAAATATCTTGTACCAATATTTTTAATAAATGGAATAAACAAATTATCTTATTCATCATCATATTGCTTAAAAATATATATATATATAATTATATTAAAATATTATTTAAAAAACAATTATAATTCACACTAAATCAAATACCAAACAAACCCATGTTATTTGGTCACCCATGCTTATTTGTGTCGGTGGACAGAAAAATTGCTTATTTTTTCAATTTTTTTTAATAGTATTATTATTATTATTTTAATAATTTCACTACAATGGTCTTCGTTATAGATACCAAATAAGTATTACTTTATTAAATAGTTATAGAATGTGTTTGTTTGTAATTTAAATCTAATATATGGACATATATTCTCAAATTTCAATTCAACATTTTAAATAAAAATAAAAAATAAAATTATAACTAAAAATAAAAATAAATAAATTTACAAATATCATCACCCCACGCTGCTTTGATTTATGGAGAGTTATTAATTACTATCGATTCCTCCCGCCGTCTCACGTACCGTGTCTGCTACACGTTAGACACGATATTTTAGGAGGAGTATAATTAGTAGATAATTAAAAATGTATTAATGAAAATAATTATTTTATAATATAAATAATTATAAATTAAAATTAAGATAACTAATTAATTTAATTAAAATTTAAAAAAAATTAAAATCTAAAATAAGATTAAAGTGTGTAATTATTTAAAAAAAACGAAAGTGAAATGGTAAGTGGGACGGACAGAAAAGGCTGGACATGGTATTTGGGACGGAAGAAGTAATATTTTCTAGTAATAAATTACGCAGCGGTGGCGACACGCGCTGTGGTAACTTCACCTCCCTCCTGTTTTTTTTTTTTCATTTTTTTTTTTCACATCTTTAAATACATTCCTTCCTTCCTTTCGTCAGTCTTCTCAGAATTTCCTTTCATCCAATCTTCGATTTCTGAAAATCTTCAGTAAATTCTCAGTCAAATCCTTTTCCAGGTACAAGAGAAGAGGATTTCTCACTCAGTGTGGTGGAAATGGCGGCCGGGAGAGCAGATCTGGACGGGAATGTGATCAATCCGATTACCATATGCATGATAGGTGCGGGCGGTTTTATCGGTTCGCATCTGTGCGAGAAGCTGATGGCGGAGACGCCGCACAAGGTGCTGGCGGTGGATGTGTACAATGACAAGATTAAGCACCTTCTCGAGCCGTCGTCCCTCCCCTGGGCGGATCGCATTCAGTTCCACCGTCTCAACATCAAGAACGACTCTCGCCTCGAAGGACTCATTCGTATGGCGGATCTTGTAAGTATTCGAACTTCCTAGCCTTTACTCTCCGGCATTTCTGCAAAAGATTTCTATCTTACTCCCGAACTTTGACCTGAATATATACAGTATATATATATGTGTGTGTATACGTAGATTTCTTGCTTAGACGATTCGTTTATGACGAGAACGATTGCTCTGAAATTTCTTCGGCGTCGAGGTTTCACGAGCTAAAGTGAAGTGAAACACTAGCGTCTTTTGTCTCCGATTTTGTTTCTAGATGTGAAGTTCATTTATGCCTTGACTGGATTTGATTTGTTTGGATATTTTTTGGATCTGAAATTTGGTGTTTCTATGTTTGGCTAGAGTAACTACTTTGTGGTCGACCTGTTGTTTCCTTCTAATTCGCCATCGATTAAAAGTTTTGCCTCACCTTTTTGTCTACTTGTCTGTCGTTGTAACGTAGTGACTGTTTTTGATAGTTTGATTCATGTGTTAGTTGTTCTAACTTTGATCTGTACTAAATCTGGAATTCTTGTTGCTCAGACCATAAATCTCGCTGCTATATGCACTCCAGCAGATTACAATACGCGTCCTCTTGATACAATCTACAGCAACTTCATTGATGCTCTTCCAATTGTAAGTATTTTTTCTTGTTACTGCCTTGCACCCTGCTCTATTGGTATATAGTCTCATTTGAGGAGGCGGATCTTGTGCCGATGCCGATGCTGATGCTACATTTAAGAGTGAAATCTTGTTGCTTTCAAAGTTTTAAAATCACAAATTAGAATAGTCATAATTGATTTATTTATATGCTTCTTGTAGTTGTATAATGTGTTGAATACATGTATATGAAAGTTGATTTCAAATATAGAAGATTTTGAATTTAATCTGCATGTTCAACGCTGATCGTTTTGATAACAGAGTCCACCCCCACACCATAGTCCATTCCTAACGGGACCTCTTTTGATTTACATAGACGTTGATCGTTTGGATGTTGAATTATTGATATATGTTGGGTTCAGGTTAAATACTGTTCTGAAAATGGCAAGCGCCTCATACATTTCTCAACCTGTGAAGTATATGGGAAAACAGTTGCTAGCTTTTTACCCAAGGATAGTCCGCTCCGGCAGGTAAACCTCTGCTTGTCTTCCCTCTGAGTTCTTGAAATTAGAATGTTGGAGTGTAAGTGTCTTTGGTTAATTAGCTTGTATTTGTTTTCTGACAATATGGTTTCTTCACATTTAAGATCACAAGTATCCATCATCATTTTCTTGGTATACGTATAGGGTCATGGGGATTAGGTATCTATCAAAATGGGGGCAAACGTGTTCCCATTGTATTTACTTCATGAAAAAAGTCGTTGTTTGGACTGAAGTTCCTCTTGCTTATGCTTATGAGAAATGAATTAAATATGTTAACTTTTGTTTTCAATTTTGATAGATACCTATTCATAGAAAATTCCTCTGATTAAATAAGTTGCAGCATACTACTGTACTTTTGATTTGTAATTGTAATTAAAATTTCTGGTTTCTTGAATACCCTCCCGAACCAGGACCCTGATTACTACGTCCTTAAGGAAGACGCATCTCCATGCATTTTTGGCCCTATCGAAAAGCAGAGGTGGTCATATGCATGTGCAAAGCAGTTAATCGAGAGATTGATATATGGTTAGTCACTAATTTGAAAATCTGTTCGTCACCGAGGCTGGATATTTTAAAGGTTTAATTTTCCTAATGCTACAGCGGAGGGCGCCGAAAATGGCCTCGAGTTCTCAATTGTGAGGCCTTTCAACTGGATTGGTCCCAGGATGGATTTCATTCCTGGTATCGATGGTCCAAGCGAAGGCGTTCCGAGAGTTCTTGCCTGCTTTAGCAATGTATGGTAAATCATATTTTGATAATTCATCATTCTCGTATCGCTCTTGTTTCATTTAATCTTTTCTCCAGAATCTTTTACGGCGCGAACCACTGAAGCTAGTAGACGGGGGTGAATCACAGAGAACTTTTATTTATATCAAAGACGCCATCGAAGCTGTTCTACTCATGATAGTATGTTCTTTCTCCGTTTCCTATCCAATCTGTTTCAAAATTTAATATCGTAGTCTGAACTCGAGTGGCTTCTTTCAGGAAAATCCAGCACGAGCCAATGGGCATATATTCAACGTGGGCAACCCGAACAACGAAGTCACTGTCAGGCAGCTTGCTGAAATGATGACTCAGGTAAATGGAGCATCCAAACCCAAACATACATTCATAACACACGGCAGACAAATGTCCTCAAATGCATATTTCTACAGATTTACGCAGCAGTCAGCGGAGAACCTGCGCTGGACACGCCTACAGTTGACATAAGCTCGAAAGAATTCTACGGCGAGGGATACGACGATAGTGACAAAAGAATTCCCGACATGACCATAATCAACAGACAACTTGGTAAATAGTCGAACTTGAAAGTGTTCGATGGATAACTAAATCTCTTTCTTTCTGTTAACCCAATTCGATAAATATGTGGTGTTGTTAGGTTGGAATCCGAAAACGTCCCTTTGGGATTTGCTGGAGTCGACTCTTACTTACCAACACAGAACTTATGCTGAAGCCGTAAAGAAAACTACTTCCCAATCCGTGGCCAGTTAAGAACACGAGCTATTCTGTAAGCCTTTCGGATCTCCATTTTATGATCTATTTCTATAATATATATATATATATATATTGTCGATATTATGAAAAGTCATAAGTCATTCTTTGGAATATCACAAAGCACAAATGTCTTGGTAGTGTATGTTTGGTGGCTAAAACTCTGTTCCCTGCTGCAGCATGTTATGTTTGTTGTCTTTTCTGTTTATGTCTATTTGGTATGTATTGAAAAATAAAAAATGTTGGAGGACCAGTCGTCACGCCTGGTGGGACTCGAACCCACAATCGTCTGATTAGAAGTCAGACGCCTTATCCATTAGGCCACAGGCGCCTTACGTGCTACAATTTAACTTTGTAATTTAATTATAGATATAACATAATCGAAACCTTGTATTGTTATTATTATTATTATTTGGAAATTTGTAACCGCTTTGCATAAATTATCGGACCAAACACTCGCGATAAAAGGATATTTAGGGTGTGTTTGTTTGGGAGATTGGATCTCATTTTTTTCACCAAAATATCAAATCAAATATCTAATTTTTATTTTTTATATTATATTAAAAATTAATTTTACATTAAAAATCTCAGGTCAACACCTATTTATATTATGTCATACAACTATTCAAATTCAAAATTTTTACTATTCAAATCCCAACTCAAAATCTAAACCCACGAACAAACATACCCTTAAAGTATATGGTTTAAGTTTTCATTCTGTTCCTCCCGGATTAAAGTATATATTAAAATTTTTCTAATAGATTAAAAAGATAATATTTTATTGATTAGTAAAAGTATTTAAAATAATTTTGATAGTTTTGTATTTTGTATTTTTTCATCGGAATCTTTTGTATTTTATGTATATATGCAGATATAGTGATATGTTTGTAATTTACTTATAAATAAAAATATTTTGATATTAATGCCCTATCACTTTTATTATATAAGTAAAATATTTTTTTATAGTAATATGTTATATTACGCATACTTGAACGAAACAAACATTTATTATATAAATTCAAATCAAATAAACCCAATATTAGCACCGAGGAAAGTTCTCAAATATCTATTTGGTTTCGATTGGAATTTAAAATTTGATTTGAATTATGTGAGATTTATATAATAAATAATACTACCTCCGTTTCACATACAGCAGACACCGTATTTCAGAAGAAATGTAATTAGTAGATAATTAAAAATGTATTAGTGAAAATAATTATCTTATAATATAAATTAATATTAAAATAACTAATTAGTTTAATTAATCTTTTTTAAAAAAAAAATAAAAAGTTTAAGATGAGATTAAAGTGTGTAATTATTTTCCAAAAAAGGAAAGTGACATTGTACGTGGGAACGTGGACATGGTATGTGGGACAGAGGGAGTATAATTAAGTATATATACGGCTATATATATATTATATGTTGGTGCAGGATTATAATATATGTACTCCCTCCGTCCCGCCAGAAGGGTGGCGTTTGCTTTTTGCACGTAGATTTTTGAATATTAGTATTATATTGGATTGTAGTAAAAAAGACAAAAATACTTCTATTAGTATGGTGTAATATAAAAGTAACGACATTTGTGTAATATTATAAATTGAAAGAATATTTATTATATGAAGTATGTAGTACAATTACTAAATTAGGAAATGATAACTTTATTTTGAAATGTACAATTACTAAATTAGGAAATGATAACTTTATTTTGAAATGAACAAAAATGAAAAATAATAATATTTCAATGAGACGAAGAAAGTATGTATATTATGATAAGTATAATATTATATATAAATATAGAGAGATACAAGAGAATGAATGATAGAGAGACGGATTGAGTTACTACATTTTAATGCAAAGACTTATAATATATATATAGTAGTAAATTTAATTATTACATGATGCGGTTGCATCTTGTTGGAATAAAAACATACATAAATATATCCGTATGATCTACGTATATATTTCATTCAGGAAGTAATATTTTATACTTGCTAATTTTAGAGGTGTATTTGTTTGTTTGGTTTAAAATTTGATTTAAAAATTATTTTAATTTGATATTTCCCCCATTTCATATAAAGTGTTTTTTTTTTCCTTATATTTCATCATTTATAATTGTTTAAATTTTAATTAAATTACCTAGTTATATTAATTTTTAATCTATAATTATTGGTAGTATACAATATTTATTTTTACAAATATATTTTTTAAGGATGTAATAATTATATTTTTTTTAAATTTTTATGCATATTAACATGGACATTTTTATGTGAATATAAAAAATATATATAAATAATATAAAAATAATGAGTGTGTAATATATTAAATTTTTTTTAAAAAAATATATTTTTAGGAATAGACAATAGTGCAAGAACACACCCTTCATTTTTCTATTAAAAAAAAAAATCAAATTTTAAATTTTCATTCAGCTTCAAACACTTTGTGTTTATTTTTTAAAATAATTTAAAATGATATTTTTTATATAAAATATAAAAAAATTATATACGTAATATAAAAATAATGCATATGTATAATGAATTGATGTTTTTAAAAAATAGTGTGAAATAAAAAAATGAAAAGATCACACTCCCTACCTCTACTTAAACTAAAACTTTAGGAGTTATAAAATTATAAATAAGTTTCAATATAATAAAAAATTAATATTTCATGTAATATTTTATAATTAAATATATTTTTGATGTAATTTTCTAAAAAAAAAGAAATTATTTTCGATTAATAATTTTGAGATAGATAGAAAAAAAATATTGTAAAATATTTGAACAAAGAGAATATCAGTAATTAATTATTTAATTTAAAATTATACTATTTTAAAATATTCTGAAACAAATAAATAAATAAATAATAGTAACAATAATAACATATAAAATTAAGATAATAATATTATATAATTAGTTAATTAATATAATACTCTCTCTATTCTACTTAATTGGTCCACTATTTCTATTTTTTCTCATCTCACATAATTGTTCTTTTTTTCTTAAAAAAATATAATTATACACTTTAATCACATTTGTAAATTTATAATTAATAATTTTTTATTTTAATTAAACTATTTATTCATCTTAATTTAATTTTTTTTATTAAATTATAATTATTTTTACTAATATATTTTCTAATTACACAATACCTAAAATTATGTGGCTAATCTCAATGGGACAATAGACGGATTGAGTAATATATATATTAAGTGGTGTGACCAACTAAATAATTTTTTAAAAGAAAAAAAAAATCCTAAAAGAATCACTATATAATATTAGGGAAAAAATCAATTTTGGTCGTAATATAATTAAAATTTATTAATTTTAGTTTTATTATAAAAAAATTAATCAATTTTAATTTCATTATAAACACTTTCAATCAATTTTGGTCCCACCGTTAAAAAACTAACGAAAATTGCTGACGTAGACGTAACGGAGGTGACGTGATAGCCGACCTGAAAACTACACGGCCATATTGTCACACGATCATTTATATTTTAGTGTATAATTTTACATGACCATGTTGCTACACGACCATATATAATTCTATATGGCTGTGTACTTTTCTATTTTGATCTAAAATTTTATTTTTTGTTATATATATTTTTTTAAAAAATATATTGAATTTATAATAGTTGATATAGTTAAAATAGGAAAAAATCAATAATAATTCTAATATAATTAAAATGTATCTATTTTAGTTCAAATACAAATATTTATAGAGTATGTTCTTTTGAAAGATTTTGTCTAAAATTATAAACTATTTACCAAAAAAATTTCTTAAAAAATTCAATTACACAACTATTTTTTATTTTTGTATATTATAGTAGTATTGAAAATTAATTTATTATTTCAATACAATTATATATTTCTAAGTTTAAATTGTTTGAAATTGTATTGACATGTCAAATTAATTTTTAATACTATAATATAAAAAAAATAGTTGTATAATTGGATGTTTGTAAGAGAAAAAATTTTGATGAATAAGAATTTTAGAAAAAAACCTTATAAAAGAATATACTCGATAAATATTTATATTTGAACTAATATTGATACATTTTAATTATATTAGAATTATTATTGATTTTTTTTTTTTAACTATATCAACTATTATAAATTCAAAATATTTTTTTAAAAAAAATAAAATAAAATTTTAGACCAAATCAGAAAGGTACAAAACCGTGCAGAATTATATAATTGTGTAGCAACATGGTCATGTATAATTATACACTGAAATATATATAATCGTGTGACAAAATGACTGTTTATAATTGTACATGGCCGTATAGTTTCTGCCACGTCACCTCCGTTACGTTGACCTCGGCAATTTTCGTTGATTTTTTAACGATAATACCAAAATTGATTGAAATTGTTTATAATATGACAAGATTAAAATTATTTATAATGAGACTAAAATTGATGAGTTTTTTTTCCTTATATTGGAATCAGAATTGATAAATTTTTGTTATAAGGAAACCAATTTTTTTTTTCCCATAATATTAATATAATATATTAATTTATATAATAATATATATTAAGTGATGGAGTCCACTAAATAATATTTGAAAAAAAAAAACACATAATAATTACACATCAGTGTCCTCAAATATATATAGTATTAAATTAAATTAGGTTAGATAGAAGATTATTATAATTATATTTTGTATTTGAATGCATTGACCATTTTAGCAGCAGGTAGCGGCAATCCCATTATTTATAAAATTTCAACAACAGCAGTCAACATTTTCTACCAAAATCCGAACCCGAACCCGAACCCAAACCCAAACCCGTAGGAGAAAGAAGCTTTGGCGCTGCTTTGACGGCGAACGCACATCTGGATTTGAGGCGAGGCCGTCGACAAAATCCCTCACTCGCACGCCATCTCCTCTCTCTCTCTCTCATCATTGCCATGTTCCCCTGTCTTGTCCTCCCCTTTTCACCCCTCCCACCTCGCCAAACCTAAATTCCGATTCCCCTTCCTTCCATACCCACACAATCAGCGTACTCACTCGACTCCAGATAGAGATACGAGATGTGGATGTGGATGTGTCGGTCAAACGCGAATCCAACGCCAAATCAAATCAAATCAAATCAATGGTGGTCGAACTCGAGAATCCCAAGCTCGATAGTCTCTCTAACTGTAAACCACTCATGCTTTTGCTTAGCTAATTTCTTTATTCATTATCATTGCAATGGGGTCTAATAAGGGTTTTTCTTTCTGCTTTTGCAAATTTGCTAACTAATTAATTGATTTCTTTATTAATTTATTCCTCCAAAAGCCGGTTTCTTGTCCCCTTCTCCCCTGGATGGAAGATTGATTGATTCCTTCTTTAATTCCATGACCTACCTGTGGTGTTTTGTCTTTGCAGAGATTAATAATCGACTGGTGAGTGAGTAACCTTGTGCGAACTAGGAAACAAAACTGTGGGGCTTTTTGCAGGCAAAGGAAACGGACAGCCTGCACTGCTGTAAAGAAAAGTAGCCCTTACGACTCATCATCATTATTATTTTTAGTATAATTGCTCTGCCACTGGTTTTGTTTCCATTCGATCCTAATTTTGACCCCATAAAAAATCTCTCCCCATGATTTTATCTGAGAGGAGAGGAAAAGGAGAAGAAGAAGAAGAAGAAGAAGAAGAAGAAGGAGATGTCGTCTGTGGTTGGAAGTGTTGGTGGGCTGCCCCCTGCCCCCTGCCCTTGCCCTTACCTTCTTTGTTTATTAATGGCTGATGCTTAATTAATGATCTGCTGCTTAGCTGTGGCCCTGTATTGCAATAAATCCAGGGGGTCTTCGTCTCCACTGTTGTTCAACTGCTACTCAGCTGATCCTTTATTTTATTAATTTAACTTTTCTGTGGCGATTTGGGCATTTATTGTGTTGAGGAGAGGGACGAATTGCTGAGCCCTATTTCTATCTATGGAAGGGAATTGAAGGAGCTTGTGACGTCTTGGGAAGCTCTGATCTGTAATAATGGCTCCTCCAGGGAAAGCTTCTGGATTTCACCGTCGAGGAATTGACTGGTACTGTATGATTTTTTTGAGTTTCTTGATCAGCCATGGATTTGTAGATTAGTTTATTGATTCTGGCTGGAGGTATGTGATGAGTTGCCTGTTGAATTTGTTGTGTGTTGGAGGTGGATTTTAGAAGGATTTTTATGAGATTGATTCGGGTTTGGGAAGGAGTTTTAGTTTTTGAAAGATATGTTGATGATGAGTTGATTGCATTGTTGATTCTGCATTTACTGGATGGTTGATACATGTATGAATTGTTAGTTTGGTCTCAGGTTCTGCGATTCGCGTCTGCCGAGCGATATTACAGTCGTGGTGGATCAAGTCAAGTTTCATCTTCACAAGGTATGCTGTGATCCATGAGTATAAAGTTTTTGAAGTTTTGATTTTAGTCGATTTTCTTGGTCGAATGTGCTGCAATTTTGGAGATATTTGTGTTTTTGGATCCTCTTCGAACATTGGATGCGGTAATGTTTAATTTTTATAGAGATTTTTTGCTGAAATATGTCTGCAAAAACATTATGTATGAATTCGATTAGGTCCTGTTCTTTTACATCAGGTTCTTCGCGGTCGTATGGGAGACTGCTTCTATATAGGGAACATTGTTTTCATTACATAACTTAAGTGCATTTTCCGTTACAAGCTTCGATAGGCGACAAACGATCTTTGTTGCCGATATCTCTATCATTGATATACAAAAATCCAAAATTTTTATGTTGTGTCGTGTTCCTATTATAAATGCTTCTTCGAGGGCGAATTTTAGTCTGTTTGAATCGACTATTATGAATTATCTTTCAACGGTTAAGATTCTAATCTTCGTTACTTTGTATGTTTTCCAGTTTCCCCTTATTTCAAGGTGTGGAAAGATCGCAACATACTTCGACAAATCTACGGACACCCCTGTCGGGACATTTACCGTTAATTTGGAAGAATTCCCTGGTGGTCCTGACACATTTCTTACGATCGCCAAATTCTGTTACGGCATCCACGTGGATTTCACGCCAAGGAATGTAGTAATTCTGCACTGTGCCGCAGATTATCTGGAAATGACCGATAGCTATGGCGATGACAATTTACGATCCAAGTCCGAGAGGTACTTCCACAAGCACATTCTCAAGAGCTGGAAAGATTGCATCTTGGCCCTCCAAAGCGTCGATCCGGCTCTCATCCCAATGGCTGAAGAACTCCAAATCGTCAGCCGCTGTCTAAATGCTTTATCCGTGATGATCTGCACCGATCGAACTTTGTTCGGTTGGCCCATGATGATGTACGGCAGCTTGCAGAGCCCCGGTGGGAGCATCTTGTGGAACGGGATAAAAACGGGAGCAAAGATTCAGAGCAACGAATCCGACTGGTGGTTCGACGACATCTCGTACCTCTGCCCGGAGCTTTTCGAGAGGCTAATTAAGACAATCGAATCGAAAGGCGTAAGGCCTGAGATAATCGCGCATGCGATAATGTACTACTGTAAGAAACACCTCCCGGGCTTGGGTCGATGGCAGGGCAGTGTACATACCGCAGTATCGTCGAGAACGGTTGCCAGTTTCACCATGACTCCAGCTAACATCGATCAGAGGAGACTCGTTGAAATCGCAGTCGAGCAGCTCCCTGAACTTAAGGGAAGATCGGTATGCCAGTTTTTACTCGGGCTTTTACGGGTGGCTCTAATCCTCGAAATCAACCATTCGTGCCAAGATTCATTGGAACGACGGATCGGCGAGCAGCTCGAATTGGCTACGTTGGATAGTCTGCTGATACCGAGCTATTCTGATTCGGATGCCTTGTACAACACTGATTGTGTTTATCGGATGATTCGTTGTTTTGTGTCGTCGGAGCCGAGTCTGGCTTCGATATCCCCGTTGTCGTTCGATGAAGAGACGTCGCCGTTGTCTAGACGTCTGAGTAGCGTCGCTAAATTGGTTGACAGCTATATAGCGGAGGTTGCGCCGGACGTGAACTTGAAACCGGAGAAATTCCGGTTGTTGGCGGAGGCATTGCCGGAATCTTCGAGGTCATTGCACGACGGGCTGTACCGGGCCTTGGATATATACCTTAAGGTATGAGTTGCGTATATAGTTGAAATTGTCGATTGATTATATAATAATTAATGATCTGTAGTCCTTGTAAATTCAAAATTTTAAGTGAAATGGTCATTTTATAGCGAACGATTTGATTGTTGGGTGTGTAGGAACACTCATGGCTCTTGGATAGCGAACGGGAGCGGCTATGCACGATAATTGACTTCAACAAGATATCGATCGACGCCTGCGCCCACGCCTCGCAAAACGAGAGGCTCCCGCTTCGAATAATACTACAAGTCTTGTTCTTCGAGCAAATGCAGCTGAGGAGCGCCCTCGCCGCGTGTCTCAACAACATGGATCCCGTAAGCGCCCCGATGGCCCCCGACGAGACGTCAACCAGACGACGGGAGGGATGGGTGACGGTCGCCCGCGAGAACCAGGTGCTGAAAGTGGACATGGAGAGAATGAGGTCCCGAGTCGGGGAGCTCGAACAAGAGTTCGGAAAAATTAAGGAGGAGATGAAGAAAGTGACCAAGACGCACGGTTACCTCAGTTCTCCCCGACGAGGAATCGGAATCGGATGCAAGCTCCTCCCTCGACCTTCGGATGCCCGTCAGGACAGCGCCACGCCGACTCCTCGGACATCCTCGGCTGAACGGGCGCGGTCATCTGCCGTGCGTCATCCTAGGCATCGGAGAACTTCGTCTTTGGTTTGACTGCAAGAAAGGAGACGGCGATTGCGCGTGTTCTCTTCCTCCCGATCATCCATGGATGTAAAATCGGAGTTGGTTCGACGAATAGATCCCGGGAAAAATGATCTAGTGGCTAAGTAAGTAAGTAAGCTCTACTAAGTATTTGTTATTAACTACTCGAGATTTTTCCAGGGTATCTTATGATCTTGTCCGTTGGAATAGTTGGTTAGATAGTTATTTGGGAGAAAGAAATATAGGATGGTCATTTTTTAGATTTATGGTATAGGAGAATGAGATCAAGAAGTTACCACCGGACAATAAATCGATTGATTGTTGTTTGTAATGTCGATATATTTTTTTAAAACGACTTTTTCTGTGAGAAGGTGTAATTGGGAGTGATGTTCTCGTATATTTAGAATTTAATAAGAGTTATATTGTGTGTTTGGTTTGTAAAATAATTTATATATATATATATATATTTGATATTTGAATATTAATTATTATATAAAAAACGAAATATAAATCATAGGAAAATAACAAAAAATACTTCAATTAATATCTTATAATACTAATATAATTATATTTGTAAAAAAAAATATTATACAAATATTTTTTTATATTAAATATAATGATGCAAATAGTAAATGGATATATTGTAATGGAATGGAAAATGTATTATTTTATTGGTAATTTTTAAAAATTTAATATATATAATTAAAAATTAGAATGTGTATTTAAATATTTTAAAAATTATATCACAATAGAAAAATATATATGTAATTTAAATATCAATAAAGTTTCATATAACACATGTAAATAAAAAAATTGTTTATTGATTTATAGTTAACCTATAATATTTTATAAAAAATATAAAATTTTAAATATAAATAAAAATATTTGATTTTTTAGAAGAGAAATAAAAAGGCATAAAATTTCTTGCTCAAATGCTTGAAAGAAGCAAATTAAAAAAGGTTTCTTTTAGAATTGTTCGAAGAAATGAAGCGGTACGGACCATTTCCTATTGCATACACCTACACAATTCTAGGGCCGGTTCTGATTTTCGAAGAGCCCGAGGCGAAATAAAAATTAGGGGCCTTTATATATATAATATATATATTTTTTTATCTATAATAAAATATATACAATAAAAAAATTCTAGTATTTTTTATGTAAAAAATATCAATAATAAGAAGACAATTGTCCACATCTCACATATAATTTTGAAATTTAGTATAAATTCCCAATATTCTTTAAAAATTGTACGGCGTGGTTATACTTTAACAAACGTTATAGGAAACCACTGCTATGCAAAAAAATATAAATGAAAAATTATTTTCTGATCACCCAAAAAATATAAAAAATGGATTTTATGCTATGTTTTTTAAAATATAAAGAGACATCATCAATTTGTAAAGTATACAGAGGATTTACATTGAGTTTTGAAACCAAAAGTTAATTGACAATTTTGCCTAATAATAATAATCATTTTGTTTAATACTTATTTTTTTAATATAAAAAATTATTAAAACAAAAATAAATATATATAAATAATATACTTCATTTATTCTTACCTATAATAAAATATAATAATTAAATAAAATAACTTTTTCTAATATTTCTAAATAAAGTATCAATAATAATATTAATATGTACTATTCATATTACTTCTGTCTAATTTTTTCTAATAAAAAATATTTTTAAAATTCAAAGTATTTAAGTATAAACTCAAAACCAAAATCAGATGAATGTAGCACTTAACCATAAGCCATATCCATCTGTTAGCATATTAGAGTTAAATAATTTATATATAAATATTATATATATAAATATAAATAAATAATGGACCCCTAATTAAATTGGGTCTTGGCGGACGTGTCCAGCACAATTCTAATGAGTTTCTATTGTAACGGACTCGATGGCCGTGTTTGTATAGTAGATACGGAGAAAGCAACTAATATTCTAGAGGAAATGCAGGCATGTGGAATTATCCCATCGGCCGTGACATACAATAATAATCTCTAAAGAAAAAATATGTATATTTTACGATTGTCATCGACTTGAAAATTTAAAAAGAAAAAAAAATCAATTTATTTTTAACTATTTTTTATTTAAAATAATGAATTTAACTCTATAGTATTGTTATTTTCAATTTGCTTATGACTTTTATTAAGAAGGTTAATATAATCATATATATATATATATGCATTTGTTAGAAAAATCGTATATTTTTCCGTCTATGTGATTATTGTATATAAGAATAACCATTAAAAATTGAAAATACAATGTGCACCAATGATATTGATATATTCTTTTTAGTATTGGATATATTACACGTCGTTCTCAACATGTATCTTTTATCCGGGTGAATGAATGATTATGTTACATATTAAAAATAGTTCTTCTTGATTCCTAATCTTTTTTACATTCAATTTTAAGTCTTGGAGTTCATTTAATTTAGATATCTAATTTTCAATAGTTAGATTGATTATTTTTATTAATATACTTTTTCTATCTTTTATTTCATTACAAAAATAAACAAATTCCTTCATGTATAGCTTTCTACTGCTATCATGAAAAATAATATTGTTGTCTTTTCGAACAATAAAATCGTTATAATATTTTAGGTATGTATTTTAGTATAGTTTATAATTTGTCCAATTGTCAATTATTTGTCAAATTCAATAATTCTAGAATTATTATTTACTTGTGATAATAAAACTAAATATGTAGATGTAACTTCTTTAGCATTCTCATTTGCCTTGCCTACTTTTTAATTTTTTTAAAAAAATTGATTTCCACAATCTAAATTTTTTAAAAGAGAATATATTAAATCTATATATCATTTTTATTATATCAACATTATATGTTTTCAGACATACCCGTGGTGATAATATCATTTTTAGTGACATTTGAATCATCTGTATCTATTCTAGTATTTTATCGCACCATCAATATTGAGATATTTAGTTGATGTTGAGAATAATTTTATCACGAATATGATGATTAAGTTCACATAATCGATTTACATCAAAGCAACAATGAGCAAAAAAATAAAAAATTGTGAATGATCTTCGCATCTTTGAAGAAAAGAAAACCTACGAAAAATATAATTTTAACGATGCCTAAAGAAAATGCATAATGAAGGACAATATATGCGAGAAAGATGAGCAAGCAAGAGTAGAGCAAAACAAGAAAAAAAAATGAAAATCAATGAGTTTGAAAATAAATAAAATGTCCAATCTGTTTTTTTTTCGTTGGCCATAGAATCGAATAATCATCTTATTTATTTATTTATTTTTAAATAAATTGCGAAAGTAAAGGAAATGTCGTCTGAACTTGAAGATTGTATGTAAAAGTAAAAATTAATACATATACATATAATTTTTTAGATTGCACCACGTGGAACAATTTGAGCATCCGAAAATGTGTTCCGCATGCGGGGTCGAAATTTTATATATAAGTATATATAACTTGAAGGATCGAGTAGAACTTATATTTATTTGGTTGGGTTGAATCTATCTTTAATTTCCTCTCCGATCATTTCCACATTGTTGATCGAAATGAATTACTTGTCACAGGCCTGTCATGGCCATGAGAATTTATTTAACAAAAGATGAACATCAAATTAAAATAATTGTATAGTAAATAAACTATATTAAATAATTTGAAATGAAAATTCAGGTAAATATATAGTATATATATATATATGTATAATTTTTTTAAAAATTTTATAATTAGGTTTGTTTATATAAATCGAATTATATGCCTCATAATTTATATAAAAAAGATCCTTTGAGAATTAGAATACATTGCAACAAATATAAAACTATAGAAAAAATATTATATTTTGTTTATTTATCTTATCAAATATGAACAGTAATCATATATTTTATAATATTTAGATAACAATAAACTCACGATGAAATTTTTCAAGTTTTTTTTTTTTTTTTTTTTTTTGTGTTCTTTAACAATCGTTTTCATTATATATTTATATATTCATATTATTTTTTATTTTTTATTTCAAAAACATCATATTATATATTTATTTTATTATTATTAGCAAAAACGCCAAAACACCTTATTTATTTATTTTATTTTTTAGTTTTTAAATTTACATTTTAGTTTAATAGTATTTTAATACTCTCTTCATCCGCTCTAAGGTCACATTTAACTTTTGTGTTATAGTACTTAACATTAAAAAATATTATTATATTTGTATTATTTTTTATACAAATGTTCTTCTATTACAATTTTTTCTGAATTTGTACTACGTTTTGATATAATAATTAATATTAAAAAATCAATACGCAAAAAGTAAATGAACCGTTAGAGCCAGACGAATGTAGTATAATATTTTATATAATGAAATAATATATCATACTAAAAGTTATTAGAATTGAATAGTAAAAATAAAATAAAATACCAAAGGGTTTGTTCATTGTATTTTTTTATGGATGTATTTTTTATATTAAGTATAAAGAATTGTATACTAATATTAAAAATAATATTTTATATTAAATTATTAATTTTTAAAATTAATAGTATATATTGTATATTATATTTATGGAGAATGTGTTTAAAAAAAATAGTAAGTGAACAACTCACAATATACTCACTTATCCAATGTTAAATTAGCTGTATTGCATATTAATATAAATTTATTTCCTAACAATAATTTTAGTAATCTGGTAATTTCAATTCCAAATTATATATTGAAAATATATCACTGAAATATTATTATTGTGACTTTATCATCAGATTAATTGTTATTATCGTAAATATTTAGGTTTTGTTCGGATTTAATTTTTTTCAAAATTTGAAAAATAAAATTTGAAAATTATAATATATTAAGTATTTGATTTGATATTTTTTACAAATTTATTTTTAATAAATAGTATCAAAGTTTTTTTAAAAATCTATATATAAATAAGGATGGGTTCACCTAACCAAAAAAATTACAAACACCTCAAATTAAAAATACAAAACAAACACACTAATAACCTTAATAATTTTAATTGGAAAGTAAAATAAAATTTCGAATTATTATCGTTATTATTTATTTACTCGGCAGATAAGCATAGCAATAAATATTCTGATGTGTCAACCAAATTATTAATATTGGTTTAAAATAATAGCGATAATAATTAACCCTAAAAATTATCTAAATACATTTAAAAGGTTTTTTTGGGAAAAAGCAAAAGGAAAAAAACCCCAGAAAACCATAATTCACGGGGGTAGTTTCGTAAATTAACATAGAGTAAATCCCAAAATACAAAAGGCAGCCGTTTCCTTTTATTTTTTTTCCCATTATTTTTATTGTTTTTCTTTTCCCCTGCAACTCTTTAAAACTCCTCTCCTTTACGGCGCTTTTGCTCCGCCGCGGGGAAGTTGCGGCGTCGTTTTTGCCCGCGTGTGAAGACGCTTTCTTGTACTCGTGGTTACGCTGCTTTTTGTTGATTTACTGCATGCATATATATATATATGTATGTTGATAATTTTGATTTCGTTAATATTTGGTTTTTGTTTGTGCCTTAGCAGGAAGTTGTTTTGGAGTTTGTAATTGAAGAAATTTTGTGAGAATGGATGGTGGAAATATTGAAAATAACATGCATCAGATGTTTGGTGCTGTACCGCAGCTTCAGGTTTTGTCGGTTTCAGAAAATGCGACGGTTACAGGATTGGGAGAGAATGCAAATTACGTCCTTAGCGGTGAAGGAATGGGGGTGGGACTTGGTGGTGGAGATGATGGAGTAAGTGATTCCAATGGTGTACGGAGGAGAGGGAGGCCACCGAAAAATCGGCCTGAGTCGTCAGATGTGACACTTGGACATACGTCGAATGTGGATTCGCCGGCGGAGTCTTCTCAAAAGCGAGGAAGAGGGCGACCTAAAGGCTCTGGAAAGTGGCAAACGTTGGCTGCGAATTTGAGTATGAATTTTTGTTCTATTCGAAAGTTTAATTTTAAGGTTATTCATGAATATTTTTTTAAAAAAAGCTGAGGAATGTTCTCTATTTGTTTATTTATTTTTTAATATCTTAGAGTTAATTTCTTAACTATGTTGTGAAGGTGGGAATGCATTGGAAACAGCAGGGAGTAGCTTGACACCTTACCTAATGACAATTGAGACCGGGGAGGTAATATTTTAGCAATTGATTTGGCTAATTGATTTGGCTGTGTTTTTAATATCAGTAGTATTTTGAAGGAACTTCTTTTATTGTGAGAAATGTATCTTTCTGTTAATTTGGTTAATTTGCAGAATGTAATTCAAAAAATTCTTTCCTTCACTCAAAGGGCTGGTGAATCGATATGCATTCTTTCAGCGTCCGGAGGAGTAACTAGTGCTGAACTGCTCAAACCTGGTTCACCTGATGTTATAAGGCATGAGGTATACATTTTGTTTTCATTCTTTTATTCTAATTGGATTTTATGTTTGACATAATAAATTATTGATGCAAAGAATCACAGATATTGTAAAAAAAGAAACAAAAAATGGTTTAATGCTTTGTTTAGTATATTGTATTTCTAAGGAGACAAAATTATAGAAACTACCAGGAATAATCATAGGTAGTTTCTCAAGAAATTATCTCTCTATATTTTGCAAAGATAGATTAAAATCAGTTTAATAGATGTTGAACTAGCAATATCCGTAAGATAGAACAAAATCAATTGTAATACAAGATAAATGATCCTTACAAAAAGATTTCATTACATATTACTGGTTTCTTACTACCTTCTACACTTCTTGTTGTTCTTTAACAGGGCCAGTTTGATATTGTATCTCTTAATGGATCGTATACATTTCATGGAAAGGATGTCTTTAATGGAAAGCTCCTACTAAGTGTGCAGTTGTTAGATTCGAAGGGGGTTCTTTATGGCGGTGCCATGGGAAATTCACTTATTGCAGGAGCACCAATCCAAGTAAGATCCATTTCTTTTTTCGCAAAAAAAAATGCACTTTTGGAATTTTGTTCGATTTGATTGTCGCTGATTGATATATTGCGTACAATGAGTTTCCACGAAGTCAGATAGTAAGTAACTCTCCTGTTTTGTTTTGTCCGGACCTTCCAATCCTGAGTAACTGTAATAGATATTACATCGGCCATTCGCCTGATTGATTCTAAGATAAGATTCTTGGACCATAGTTGGAAGGGCTTTGTGATCATTGATCATGTCATGATCAGGCATTCTAGTTTTCGAGTAAATAATAATTGCATACACTCTTGATTAGTGAAGCACATGCCCCTTTTTCCTCAAAAGTTCTGTAAGAATCTAAAATAAGTCTTCTAACCATATAGTTAGTACACGAGTTGCTTACAAGATCTCGTTATAACATTTTCTCATCCTTTCTGCATTTCAACACAAAATGAACGTGTCGGCGCAACGTGTTGAATGAATCCTGAAGTAAGGATATGGTTAGAATTTTGGTTCCAACTTATTTTCCACTCCATTAATGTCTTTAATTTAATCTTAACTTACGATTACAAGAATTTCTACACCGTTCTGCATTTAACATAAAAAAAAATGAGTCGTGAATGATCTTGAAGTATATGGTTGAAATCCAAACTCCAATATGATGCGCTTAATTAAATCTCTGCTCGTGTCTTCCAGCTTGTCATCGGTACATTTAAACAGTGGCCAAGAGGGAAGGGGAAGAAGGCGAGAATGAGCAACACAGTTGAAGCTACAGCAGCATCACCGACCACACCAAACAGCCAATTACTAGCAAATGAAGCAAATAGTCTGGAAGCTGTTTCTCATGCCCCGGCACAATCCATCGATGCAGTGGATAAATTCATTAATGGGCACGACACTCACATGTCTCTTCAGCCGTTCGACTGGACCTCATTGCAACCCTCTGCACCAGCATCTCACCATGTAATCCCTGATTTCAATAGTGGTATTCACTGATTTAGGCGAGGTAAAAGCTCGTCTCTCTTCTCGAACCAAATTTCCATTCATAGCTGTTGAAACTTATTTATGAAAAAGTATAAACCTTATTTGCTGGTAATTCTAACTACTTATTTGAGTAGATTGATCTTTAATTTAGCAATGGTAGAACATTGTATCTGTTTTTATTACCAAATATACATTATTCTATATATGACTTTATTTTCATATGTTGTTTGTTTTAGTTCCATTTTTTTTTTTTTTTTTGATCGGAGTTTTAGTTCCATATTTTTTTTTTTATCGGAGTTTTAGTTCCATATATTTTTTTTGATCGGAGTTTTAGTTCCATATTTTGATTTTATGTATTATCAAATATGTTGTATTATCCAATAACATCAGCGATCAACAAATACTAATAACCCCGAATGCCTCGTTACTTTAGTTTAGTATAGTCGTCTTTGTTTTTGCCGCCAACGTAGGCTACTAGGAGAGTAAGCAAGCTAGCTTGCTTGCATTCTAGAAACTATCGCTTCTTTCCTTCCTCTCGCTTTGCTCGTCAATTGCATAGAGCCTTTCCTTCCTTGTCAGGATACAGAATATGATTCAGTATATGTTGATGACTCAGTCAAAACTATTCTGTCTTAGTTGGATCCGCACAGGATTCATATAGTCATTTCCAAGTTTAAAGATGTTACATAAAGAGATGTATTTAAAGTATACGAATGTTCCAAGATTTTGATGATCTAATCTGAACATTTTTGTATAGCATTTGTTTGTATTACATCTTTCTGGGATCATATATTAGCAAATAACTGGTAAGTTTTTGCATCGATAATGATCTGTCTCACAGCTGCAACTGCTGCTATGATCCCAAGGGCTGAGAATATCACTGCTAGAGAGATATGTACATATCTTTTGATGCCATTTTGTTCAAATGTTAAGACAAAAAAAACAAAGGGAAGCACAAAGTCGAGAGGTATGAACCCAAACGCTCCTATAAGCGCATTGATGTCCCCGAAGAATGGAAGCATTGCAGCTAATGTAGTTGCGACTACAACTGATATGGACCGCGATATAACTCTCGGGACAACATTGCGCGAGGAGAACTCCCTGCTCTTTGGATCAGCAAATGTTCGCTCCAAGACTTCGTTCGTCGGCTGTAAGTAAACCTGTTGCACAAATCGAGTTTGTTTTAATTTTTTCTTTCAATATGCAATATTGTTTTGCGTATTTGGTATTTGGTTTGTTACCACTGCAACAGCCGAGAGCTGAAGAATGGTGAGCACGTTGGTCATCAAGATGAACCATTTGGGCACCAAAGGGTCGTCGCCATTCAAGAAGTTTGTAAGAATTAGACCTTCGGCTCGGTTGCCAAATGCCCAATACCCAGAAATCGACACGCTAAAGAATGTAGCCATTAGCACCGCATAGCACACACAAAGCCCTTTGAACATCTTGCCCTTAACCGGCGGCGCCAACGTCGCCTACAAAATTCATATCCCAATTTAAATTCAAATTGATCACAAACTCAACCATTCCATATATATAAAAGAAGTAATAAAATCAACCTGTATTTCAGGTATTATTCCATTGCCAAAAGTTGTGCCAATAATGGCAAGTGCATTGAAGATCCCAAACACTCTCTTCTCTGTGTTGCTGTCCAATGAATAGTCTTTCTTTGGACCCTTTGATGATATTCCTAAAAAATAAAATTACTTGCTTAAATAATTTTTATTTTATTTTATTTATTTTTTCTAAATAAAACTACATAGTAGTAATAAATTAGGTTGTAGTATCCTATGTTAGAGATACCTATATAAATGGAGGCAGCTGTGGCGCAAGCACTGTAGGAAAGGCACAGGAGCAGGGAGACCATATTGATGTGCCTTAGGGAGTGGAAAGATGGGATTTGAGCCAATACTAACATTAGCCCACCAAATATGATTACAAAATCGTACAGCTTCATTTCAACATCTGGTTTGGACAGTGTGTATATTGCCTGTTTATATTATTATATAATTTAATTTTATAGAGTTCAAATTAAATTGTTATTTATATATTAGTTTAATTTAATTTAATTTAATTTATTGATGTGAATTGAGATGAGTGGGGTTACCTTCATGCACTGGCCTCCCAGTAAAATGAATCCGACAACTGTCCCATAGCATACCAAGAACTGTATTGCCCCCACGTAATATCTCCCCCACTTTGGTCCTGACATTGGGTATATATATATATATATATATAAATAATTTTTTTTTACATGAAATAGAAAATTAATGTGTATACATATAGGATTATCTAAATTTTTTTTAAAAAATGAAAATTACATACTATCAAGATTACGTAAGATTAAAATAGTGGGATTTCGACCCTTAAGGATGGTTGGTGGAGGTGCACTTAAGTTCAAACTCCCGACGCCTCCAGATCACCTCGCACACATGGTTCGCTTAGTGTGACTTGTCTTTTGGAAAGATATTAGGCTCGGCCGGATGATCGTATTGGAATAAAAAGACTCGATATTGTATTTGTTTGTCTACACATATTGAATATAATTTTTAATATTAGCTCATTGAAGTATTATTGAAGCAGTTCTATATAAGTTTTAGGTATAACATACTTTTGATATCTTTGCTATAAATTGAAAGAAATGTATATATTATTTATTATAATTCTTTATAGTTATAATACAATTTTATTAATAGTAAGTAATTAAAAAATATATTAATAAAAATAATTTTTATATAGTAAAAATAATTATAAATTAAAATTAAAATAACTAAATAATTTAATTAAAATTACAAAAATTATAAAATTTAAATTTTATAATATGATCAAAATGTATAATTAATTTTTAAAAAAATAAAAAACAAATTATATAAGACAAAGAAAAATAATAAAATATAAACAAATTACATGAAAAAAATTAATTTTAAGGGCGGGGGTAGTAAAGTAATTAACTAACCTAAGATGGTGGTGGCCATGTCCCGGAATCTGAGGTGGCGATTCCCCAATTGGGCGTGGTGTTCCAACACCAGAGACAGCAGATTGTACCCGTAGAACGTCACCGCCGCGCCGATCAGGAGGCTGCAAATCCCGACCGTCCAACCCAGCGACGCCACCGCGAACGGAAGGCTCAGAAGCGACGGCGCCACGATCGACGTCGTCAAGTGGTACCCGCAGTGCACCCATGAACCTGCACTATTATTAATTAATTAATTTATTTATGTGTATTATAATACAAATAAGATCGAATCCTCTGTGTCATTAACACACTCTATTTCTTTATTCTTATATATATATATATTTTATACATACATGATTAAAATGTCCTTATTTTTTTAAAAATTTTAAAGAGTATATTAGAGTAATAATTAGGTATAGTATAAAAAAATAAAAATATTTTTGTTATAAAGTGGGACCACGGCTACTAAATAAGAAAACAAAATAATTGTTTTGGAACGGACGAAAAAAAAAACAAGACAAATTTTTTGGAACTGAGGGAGTATATATTATGTATGTAATGATACAGAGATATAATTTATTTTTGGGATAGAAGATTCCACAAGAATCCCAATATATATATATAATACTAATGGACAAGTAATATTGGAATTAATTGATGTATAATCTACATTTCATTACTAAAAATTCAAAAAATTACATTAAATTCACATCCACGGAGATGAGAGGCGGCTGAGACTGACCTCTGGATTTAAGGACAAACTGTGCACCGGCGTCCAGCTCCTTCTGCTCGCCGGCGGCGGCGGCCGGAGCTCCGCCGTGCTTTTCCTCTCCGTTGGATGCCATCGTCGGCGGCGCCGGTGGGAGATATTTTATTAATGAATTGATGAGAGCACCGGCTTGGCGTGAAATTGAAGAGGAGCCGCGCCGGCGATTCTGACTATTACGCCTGCATCCACTCTTCTCTTCTCTTCTCCATATATAATAATACGTATAGTATTCGTATGCATACATCAAGTATTTTGTCGTTTTCTGCTATCCGTAATCTTAGGAGTAGCTTTTATAATTTTTTATTTTTTAAAAAAATGTAAATAAAGGATTCTACATAGAGACATTTCTTTATAAATTTTATAATCAATATTATTTATTTACTTAATAATATTTTTTATTGTTAGCGTTTATTTGATTTGTATTTTAAATTTTAATTTTAATTTACGTATTATTTTTATAAAACATTCTATTAAAATAGGTAGTATATTTTGTATTTACAATATATGAACTTAATAGTAACATGTTGATCTAAAATATAAATCAAACAATTATTTTATTTTATTTTATTTTATCTTTTAAGTATTGTACCCCCATCTATTAACCCCAAAAGTTTATGGATTTGTTTGTTTAATGTTTCGATTTTATTTTTATTTTTTTTTTGAAAAATAGAAAATTATAGAAATATTTTATGTTAAATATTAATTGTTACGAGAGAATTAAATATATATATATATATATTAGAAATCATATAAACAAATGTAATTTATGAGCAAACAAACTCTATTCTCTCTCCTAATTCAAATTCAAAGTACGTGTTTTTATGTTTGTTTCATTTCAATTCAAAATATCAATTTTTATTTTGAAATAAAATAATCATACACTAATATCGAAATATCCTTAATTTTTTACTAGATTCCAAACATATCATTACGTGCTTTATACATCAAGTCAAATGACAGAATTTCAAGTTCTCTTACACATTTTCACTGACCAATAAAATACTATTATTTTTTAATCTATTACGAAATTTCAAAGGCCCATTTGACCAATAAAATACTATTATTTTTTAATCTACTACGAAATTCCAAATGCCCATTTGATAAGGGAAGGAGGAAGTATATTTTATCGATAATCTCATAGATTTTAATTTTTTTTTTAACTAAAATTTAATAAATTTCAAATTACAACTACAAGTTAAAAATATAATGAAAATATGAAAGAATAATATAAAGGGTCTTAAGCCTAATTATATAATTTGAATTTAGACAATTCTAATTTAGAAGTTTAAAAGTATATGGCATCTATATGTATTCAATTGGAATTAAAATTACCTTTTAATTTAGATTTATTTGAACTTGCTTGTCTTTGTTCATCATTTTCATTTATATTTAAATATCATTATTCGAGTCAATGCTATTTAATTCACATTGAGTGTTCAACTTAATTTGAAAACGATCTTGCACTCAATATTTGACTGTATTATTTATACTAAACACCTGTTTGACTGTTATGGTTGAAACAGGATGGTAAATATTTTTATATTATATACTCCCTCCGTCTCAAAAGTATAGTTTTGTCGTGTAGTTGGTAAAAAGTAAAAATAAATAACTTTTTTGCTCTTGTGAGTATATTAGTGTAAAAATTAGTGGCAATTGTATAATAATGATGAAAAATTATTGATAGTTTTACGGTGATACGATTATTTATGAAAATAGGACTATTATTTTAGACAAATAAAAATGGTAAATAAGACTGTATTGTATTGGAATGGAAAGAGTATATAATATGGAAATTATGTATAACTAACATAAATTTATTTTACAAAAATTAAGAAGTTTTGAATTAATATAAATATATATATTTACTGTGAGAAAAAAATAAAAGATTTTGAATAATATCTATATCATACAATATTTAGAAAAATAAAAAATAAAAACATAAAATTAAAGTATAGTGTTAATCAAAATTAAATCGGTAACCAAACACACCCTTAGTCATCAAAGATGTTTCAAGTTGTAAATATAAATTTAAAATTTCTCTTGGATATTTATGTGATCTTGCATTGATAAAATTATAACAGTGTGAAAATTATGAATGTTAAAAAAAAAAAAAAAAAAAAAAAAAAAAACTACAATAATAAATAAATAAAAATAAATAAAAAATAAAAAATGTCATTTTGTCACAGAAATTAGCGAGAAAATTTCAATCCATCATAATTAGCAACCAATTTTGCTACAAATAGCAACAAAATTTACGAAATAACACATTTCAGTTGCAAATTCTAAATAAAAAAAAAAATCTGGATTTTCTTTAAAAAAATATTTTTTTTTTATATATTTTTCTAAAAAAAATAATATACTACATACAATCATTTTACCGTTTTGTAATTGACTTTATATAAATCATATAAAATTAATATATATTTTTAAGTTAGATTTTCCTTAATAAAATTCATTTTACCATTTCGTACTGATATATATTTATCTAGAAAGCTGATGTGCCTGATAAATTGATAATCCAATATGTAATATTATCTCTATCCGCCTCTAAAGTCTCATTTATTTTTTACATGTTGATATTTGAATATTTATTAATTATATGAAAATATAGTACGAACTAAAGAGAAAATAACAAAAATATTTTTATTGATGTCTTATAATAATATTATAATAACATTTGTGTTAATATTAAATACAATTACACAAAAGGTAAATAAGACCCTTAGAGTCCCAAAAAAATATATTTCTTATATATTCATGTATAGTAAATAGAACTATGTCTCTTACAATGTAGATGTCTTAGGACGAGTAGGCAAGGATTGGGTCAGCTTGCACAATCAGTCAGGCTATTACAGCGGACTGGGAAATGGGAGGATTATAATGGCATGGACACAACAGTTCGTCAATAAATGTAATTTTAATTGTCAATTACTCATACATTTTTGTTTGCATATATAAATTATTTCATTTTCTGTAAATACGTCGACATCGGCAACATCAACGGCGATTGCTTCATTTGGGATCATCCAAGACGAGACATCATGTTAGAACAAATTTTGTTATTCTTTTCTTCTCCAATTAAATTCTAAATAGAAAAAAAAAAAAAAAAATCGATGATAAAACTAGACGGGCCTAGGACTTCGCAGTCTGCAACGGCTCCCGACGACGACGGCCTCATCAAAATAGAGGTGCATGCAAATGGCAAGTGCCTCTTTAAATATTCAATTGTAGTAATAATTTTTGCAACCATAAATTATGTATGTCGCCCTATGGTCTAGTAATGCCTCGAGGCACTTTTGATCAATATTCCAATGACACCATACTCCTGAGAGGCACAAGTGGGGAGTGAATTATACCTTGTCAATTCCGTTGCAAAATTTGTCAGATGTCAAATATTTACGATGATTATTTTTATTTTTATTTTTATTTTTGTGACAGGTGACGAATTCATCACAAATTATGTCGCAAACGTCATTGGCACGTAACAAAATAAAATTTCCGATTGAATCAAGGGTTTTGTTTTTATATATATATATAAGTGACTATAAGTATTATTGGTATTAATATTTTAGCTATCACACTACCTTTATAAGAATTTGAATCCTCATGGATTAGCTTTGCAAAGAGATCCTTTTTGCATATTTTCCCTCGACAACGTCGAGTGTATTTTATCGTGATTTTCAATAAAAAAATATATATATATTTTTAAAATATCATATTAAAATTCTATTTAGAAAAAAAATAAAAAAAATAAATACTTCATTTTTAATCAATTTTAGACTGTCTTCTATGTCTTAGTCTTCTTATTCTCGGTCTTCCCTTTGCCTTCCAAACCAAACTATAATAAAATTCAACCATAAATTTATGAATAAATTAATGTAAATCCAAATTAACAGAACACATCCTTACTATTTCTGCATATATTAATGTATTTTTCATAGGAGTTGTTCTAGTTATAGTTACAAGATATGATGTAACACCCCAGTCAGCTCAAATTGGAATATTACCACCACGTCGAACTAAATGATCGATTTGCGGGTTAGGGTGTCACATATGCTGATTGAAATTTCTAATCTAAACTAAACATTTTGTATAGTATTTGTATCTACTACAACTTTTTGGGGTCAGATATCAGCAAAAAGCCGGTAAGTTTTTGCATCAAGAATGATCTGTCTCACAGCTGCAACTGCTGCTATGACCCCCAACACTGAGAATAACACCGCTAGAGATATATGTACATATTTTTTGATGCCATTTTGTTCGAATGTTAAGACAAAGAAAACAAAGGGGAGCACAAAGTCGAGAGGTATGAACCCAAACGCTCCTATGAGCGCATTGATGTCCCCGAAGAACGGAAGCATTGCAGCTATTGTAGTTGCGACTACAACTGAGATGGACCGCGATACAACTCTCGGGACAACATTGCGTGCGGAGAACTCCCCGCTCTTTGGATCAGCAAATGCTCGCTCTAAGACTTCGTTCGTTGGTTGTAAGTACACCTGTTGCACAAATAAAGTTCGTTTTCTTTTTTTTTTTTTTCTTTTTTCGAGTTCAATATGGAATATAGTTTAGCCTATTTAGTAGATTTGGTTTGTTACCACTGCGACAGCTGAGAGCTGGAGAATGGTGAGCACATTGGTCATCAAGACGAACCATTTGGGCACCAAAGGGTCGCCGCCATTCAAGAAGTTTGTAAGAATTAGACCTTCGGCTTGGTTGCCAAATGCCCAGTACCCGGAAATCGCCACACTAAAAAATGTAGCCGACAATACGGCATAGCACACGCAAAGCCCTTTGAACATCTTGCCCTTAACTGGCGGCGCCAACGTTGCCTGCAAAATTCATACTCAGATATAAATTCAAATTGGTAGCAAACTCGGTTGTTCCATATAAGAAAGTAAGAATATTTTGAAATTAAAGTGAAGTACATAAAAAAATAAAATTAAAGTATTATAAAAAAAAAAAAAAAAATCTTAAAAATTGATAAAAAATGGAGTAGGGTAAGTTAAAAATATAGTGACATATAAGGCCATCATTTGTCTTCTTTATATTTGTATAATTTACTCAAAAATATTATTGTATTTATATTATAAGAGACTAATAGATGTATTTTTATCATATTTTTTTCTTAATTTGTACTACGTATTGATATAATAATTAATGTTCGAAGATTTACATAAAAAAAAAAAAAGAAACTCATCGTACTCTTCTTCTGGACGGAAGTAGTATAAGATTAGCTGATAGAAAAAATAATTACTAATTTTGTCCCAAAACAATAGTCTCATTTTGTCATTTTTATCTGTCCTAAAATAATAGTCTCATTTCAATATTTGATAACTATTTCCCCGCCTTTTTATAAAACTATCCTCATTTTTTTTTCATAATAACTAGTATTTTAGATATACTTTTACACTCGTTATCTATATAGTACTATTATTCATTAATTCTTGTGCTTATCTCAAATGTCTCTATTGTTTTAGAATGAAATGAGTATTATATAATTTTTATGGGCGGAATAAATAATAAAATCAGACCTGTATTTCGGGTATAATTCCATTGCCAAAAGTTGTGGCAATTATGGCAAGTGCATTGAACATCCCAAACACTCTTTTCTCTTTGTTGTTGTCCAATGAATAGTCTTTCTTTGGACCCTTCGATGATATTCCTACAAATTTTTCTTGTTCAAATATTTCTTTCTAAAAATACATAATAAATTATTTTATTTTATAGAAATGAAAATAGTATCCTATGTCATATTTGTTGCATGAAATTCTTTGTATTAGCATGAAACCTTAATAGAATACTTTATAGTATTGCATAAAAATGTGAATACTGAAATTTAGAATATATATTTCTAATAAATACATGTCTATTTTGCAAATAATCTTTATTATATATAAATAAATCTTGTAAACTTCATAATTTTGTATTAGTAAAAAGAATTAAAGTAGATGATTTTATCATTTCTTTTTCAATTTTTTCTGAAAAAGTTTAAGTCAATTTATACACATGTTTCTTAATTTTCATTTTTTATATGGCGTGGAAAGTCGCGTGCAATATTCTGAATATGCACTAAGCAAGTTTGTATAATGTTGGTAAATTTTAAATTCATGATCTCGCCGTTACAATTTTTTAAGGTCTCTTAAAGGTCATGATTCTTAATTATCAATAATAATACAAAGAAGAAGAATTAAAATATAATTAAAATATAGAGCATTGTTTCCTTACACTTTCGAAAGTTTTGACATTATGCGCTAATAATTAAAAAAAGAAAACAACACATCTAGTTATTTTTCATTTAAACTATTATATCTAAAACCTATTTTATATAATCATATAATATATTTACGTTGTATAAAATACTTATAATCTGTTCACTTAATAGTTTTTATTATTATTTAATTCTTACTATTTTCAATAAATATATGTTCATACTTTTAAACACGAATTTTAATGTGTATGAATAATAATTGCTAAAAGTACAAAAAGATACAAACTATTCAAAACAAAAAACAAATTTTTATTACAACAACAAAAAAAAATTAAAGTAAACTTGAATTTACATGATGAAAAAAATATATATTATTTTTTTATAAAACAGTTATTATTTATATATATAATAAACTAAAAAAAATAAAAATAAAAAATTATAAACTAAATACACCACTTTTTTTATCAAGCTTTTTAAAACTTTATAAGTTACAAATATATATATATATATATATATGGTGAGAAAGGTTGAGAATGTATGACCTACTCTACTCTTTTGTAGATAAATTGATTAGTAATAAATGAACTTTTTATTTTTGTGAGCTTTGGAGTAGGTACTTAGGGTTTTTATGCTATCTTAAATAAAATTTTGACTATTTACACGATATTCAAAAAATATATATTATTTTATTTTTTAAAGTATGTTTTTTTTTTTTTAATGAATTTGAAAAAAAGTTAATTTGAATTTGATATAAAAATAATATTTTTTTAAAAAAAATAGAATTCAAATAGTAAAATCTGATAAAACTCAGCTAAAGAAACATATCTCAATTTATAAAAAAATAAAAATAATAATAATAATAAAATACTTACCTATATAAATGGAGGCAGCTGTGGCGCACGCACTGTAGGAAAGGCACAGGAGCAGGGAGACCAGATTTATGTGCCTCAATGAGTGGAAAGATGGGATTTGAGCCAATACTAACATCAGCCCACCAAATATCGTCACAAATTCGTACAGCTTCATTTCCACATCTGGCTCGGACAGTGTGTATATTGCCTATTTTACATATTGTAACCACAAATTAATTACTCTATATACTACCAATTAATTAATTAATTAATTAGACTATTTCAAATTGTCAGACATATTAATTTATTGATCTTAAATTAATTCTGAATTCTGACTGACCTTCATACACTGGCCGCCCAATAAAGTACACCCCACTACTGCACCATAGCACACCAAGAACTGTATTGGCCCCACGCAATATCTCCCCCACTTTGGCCCTAACCCAAATTTAAAATAACAATAATATATTGTTGGAATGTCTAATTACAAAGTAAATATTTCATTAAATACCTCACTTTTTTTTCATAAATACCCTTATTTAACATCACATCATCAATTTTATACCAAAAACAAGGGTAAAAATGTTATTACACTACTTTTAACTATCCACTATAATTAAAATACTATTATTTCTTAAACACCGCGCCAAAAGTAAATTTATACTTTATCCGTGAACGAAATGAGTATTAATCAAACATATTCGACATTATTACCGGATGTTTGGTACATAGAAATGACAGAAAAAAAAAATATTTCTATTTCTTTTGAGAAATAAATTATTATTATTATTTTTATTTTATTTCTCTCCTACGTCCAGAGCATTTGAAAAAAATAAAGGTTGCAGTGTTATTTTTTTTTAATTTTTTTTTACTATTTTATTTTTATAATTTTTAAAATTATATTATTCCAATTTTACAAAAATCACATTAAATTTATTATTCAAGAATTTAATTTTACTATTTTTGAAAAAAAAAAAGTACTAACATATTATAATTTTACAAAAACTCGAATGTAATTTATAATTTTTTTAAAAAATTATTAAAAATATTTTTTCATAAATTCTTATTGGTTAAAACTATATTTTATCCGATTAATCATTTATTTTTATTTAATTCATTCAAATAACTGTAATTTTTTTTATATTTCTGAACTGCGCCAAACAAATATTTAATTTTCATTTTCTATTCAATTTACTTTTCTCTACCATTTCATTCCCTATTCTCCTTTTTTTTTTACAACTCTACCAAACGCCCTTGTAGCACTTAATAATTAGCAAACCCAATATTTAATTCAATTTAGTGGTTGATTTGATTAAATTATAAAATTGATTTTTTAACTAACCTAAGATGGCTGTGGCCATGTCCCGGAATCTGAGGTGGCGATTCCCCAATTGGGCGTGGTGTTCCAACACCAGAGACAGCAGATTGTACCCGTAGAACGTCACCGCCGCGCCGATCAGGAGGCTTCCAATCCCGACCGTCCATCCCAGCGCCGCCACAGCGAACGGAAGGCTCAGAAGCGCCGGCGCCACGATCGACGTCGTCAGGTGGTATCCGCAGTGCACCCATGAACCTGCACTATTCTTTATTAATTAATTAATTAATTATATATAATATAATATAATAATCGACAGTTAAAAATTGGAATTATTTCATTCCTCAAAATTTCAAAAAATTAAATTAAAATAAGACTGAGACTGACCTCTGGACTTGAGGACAAACTGCGCACCGGCATCCAGCTCCTTCCGGTCGCCGGCGCCGGCGGCCGGAGCTCCGTTGGACGCCATCATCATCGCCGGTGGGAGATATTTTATTAATCAATTGATGGAAAATATCGCCTCGCCCACCACAGTCTCTTACGTCAAAGACGAGGCGGACATTCTGACTATTACTCAACCTGTCCACTCTCCATAAATACACACACATCGAAATACTTGTCGTTTTGTGCTAGAATATTCAACGTAACTACTCCATCTTGTCTAAAAACAATATATATATATATATATCCAAAATTTTTGGATTAAAAAAAAAATATCAATTTCGTTTCAGAAAAATAGTCTTTTTATGTTGGGAATTAGATTTAAGAATATGAAAATTATAACGATAGTAAAAAATATTAGAAGATTTTTTTTTTCTCATGTGAGCGTAACGTAAAAAGTAATAGTATTTGTGTGATAATAATAAAACTATGGTACCGAAACAGATGAGCAATATGCTTTTTATTGGGGATTATTATATTAATATTTTATTCAAGTAATATTTATGATAAATAAATATTATAATTTTATTTTAATAAATAATAATTAATTTAATTTTTTCTTTTTATTAATTTTAATAAATTTTTAAAAATACATCTATTTTAGTTTTTTACATCATTTAATTTTATGTTAAAAAGATTATTATTTTTAAGATTTGTTTGTTCAAACTTTTTCTCAAATAATGATTTTCAATATATATTTTATCATTTTATATAGGTAAGTATTTAACTTAAAATATTATTTTTTATATTATTGATATAATTTCTTATATCTCACTAATTCTTTAAATTAAAAAAAATAAACAAAGAATATAAATGATATAAATATTCAAGACATAAAAAAGTATTTAAATATTGTCCATGTACTTTTTTTTGGAATTTGTAGGGATAAAATTGAAAAATATATGGTGTGGTATTGGTATAAATATATTGAAAAGTAATGAGTAAAATAATTTTTTTTTTACTAAATATAAATAAATAACCTTTTGGTGTACATAATAAAATGATAAAATGAGCATAATTTAAACGAGTATTATATTTGGGGTATGTTTGCTTATTTATTCTCTTATTTTCTTTCATTTATTTATATTATTATTTATAATGTATTTTCAAACTCTTATATAATATATGATGATATGAAGTACCTTTCGAATAGACTTAGCTATGAGGAAGTATTTACTGTGTGTTTCTTTTGGTTGAATTTGGAAAAAATTGATTTGAGTTTGGTATTAAAATAATGTTCGATGAAATGTTTTGTAAAAACTAAAAGTATATTTTTTTTCAAAAAATGTAGAATACAAATAATAAAATCTAAAAAAGTATAGTTAAAGAAACAGACCTTTAAATAATCCAAGAAGCTAATAGTCACGCTCGAGGCCTTTGGTGTCTCAAGCTATTAATTCCAACTCTAACATTTAGCCATCACATTCTTTACTCGAATTATCACTGTGAAGATTTATAAAGGGAACCGGATATGGTTTTGTTTATGCATATACTCTTATCCGGTGCCAGACTGCCAGAGATTGTGCAACATTTGATTGACTTCAAAGACTATATTAGAAGGTTGAAAAGAAGAATTTATGAAATTAAAAAAGAATTAGCTTTGGACTCATCCCACTCTCTTCCCCAATTAGAATCCAATCTAAAAATAGAGCTAGATAAGGCTCTTGGTCAAGAAAAACTCATTTGGTACCAAAATCAATGATTGACCGGCTAAAATGCGGTGATAGAAACAAATACTATCTACCTAACATTACAAATACCTTTACAACTTACAATATATTACACAAATGTCATTATCTTTATATCACACATACTAATAAGATTATTTTAGTCATTTCTACTTTATTCCTACTATATCCCAATATAATACTAATATTTCTAAAATTACGTACAAAAAGCAAATGAATATTTAGTTTCGGGACAGAAGAAGTATTTCAAATTGTAAGTCTGTTGATTTTTATTTTTTATTTTGTTTAAATAGACAATTTAATTTTTTTAATGAAAATTTTAAAATTTTATAAAAATATATCGGTCAAATTTTTTTATATACCATTTCAATCTTATTTTTTTCGATTTCTCTTGATACCATGAGACCACGAAAAAGAAAATTTAAAAGATAATAAAAAAAAAACATTTGAAATTATATTTAGTATAAAAAAATAATTAAAATTATTATATTAATATAAATCAAATTAAAAAATAATAACAAAATATATAATACATTTAAATTTTAAAAAAAAAATAATAATAAATTAAATTTTTATGAGAGACAAAATAATATATTTATATAAATTTCATTCATTTTAAACTAAAAAAATATATTTTTGGGAACTAAAGCCTAGCCATATCATTCTCCTTAACAAGAAGATTTCTGTTGGCGAAAGCTCAAGGCTTTGCAATCCATAAATTAATATCAACTCCAGGCCCAATGAGGGCTAACATGGTGTTATCAATCTGGTTAAAGATATATTTTGAACTGGCCAAATCTCCGATGATCTCGGTTAAACTCTTATTACTCTTATCCCCAAAAATGTTAGCCTTAACTTGTTTTCGACCTTAGACCTATGAGTTTCTGTAATGTTATTTTCAAAATTGTTACAAAGATCATCGTAGCTAAACTATGATATTAAAATTAAAATAATTAAATAATTTAATTAAAATTAATAAAATTATAAATTATAAAATTTAAAATTTTATTAAAATATATAATCATATTTTCAACAAATAAAAAATTACGTATAATAAACCTAAATAAAAAAATAAATATTTTAAATGAAATGGAGAGAATATATTTTATATGGCGTAAATCTTTATATATTCAAAATTCAAAAAATGGTTTACTTAGATTAAAGATTGAGAATCATTATCAATTACTTGTGTTATTATTATTTGTTTTTATTGAAATACTTTATTTTATTATTCTTAGTTTTGTAATTAATATTTTGTTCTTTCGACATTATTTTTCAATTATTATTCTTAAAATAATAATAATAATAATAATAAATATAATATTTTATAAAAAAGATTATTAAAAAAATTAAATATTTATTCTAAAATAATATATTTTAATATTTGACACAATTGTTTTACGAAAAATTATTTCATCTAAAAATGTATAAATACATAGATCACAAAATTAATAAATATTTCATCAATGGGAGTTGAGTGTAGTGAGTAAATCTAGGTTGTAAATCACGTCTTGATTAGATAGTAATTTATTTTTATAAATAGAAACCTTTAAATTTATTTTGATTGAATTGAGTTTTCATATCTTATGCTCCCTCCCTCCGTCCAATTGAAAAGTTGTCATTTTCGTCCATTCCAAAACAAGGTTACTATTTCCTAATTTAGTAATTGTACTACCTATTTAACATAATAAATACCGTTACAACTTACACTATATTACACAAATGTTATTACTTTTATATTACACAATACTGGTATTTTCATCCTTTTCATTATAATCCATTATAATACTAATATTAAAAAAATCTACGTACAAAAAAAAAAAGCCACCCTTGTTTTGAGACTAAAGGAGTATTTATTTCTCTTCACTTTTTACTGTTCGTGTCATTTTTTTTTCCTCTTTTAATTTGTTTTATCTTATGCTGGAACATATTTGTTTGTGAATAAATTTGAATCAAATCTGTCATTTTCAATAAAAATAATATATTATTCTCTCTGTTTCGAATATTTTGTCCGTTTTGCTGTATATACGAAAATTTTAGAGGGATATAATTAGTAAATAATTAAAAATATATTAGTAAAAATAATTATTGTATAATAAAAATAATTATAAATTAATATTAAGATAACTTATCAATATAATTAAAATTTAAAAAATTATAAATAAATTATTTAAAATAAGATTAAATGTGTATAATTTTATTTTTTTTTAAGAAAAAGAAAAGTCACCAAATAAGGAACAAAAAAAAAAGTGGGACGAAGCGAGTATTAATTTATGTAATTGTAATTTGAAATTAATAATTCGAAGTAATGACCTAACATCAATTCTCCATCACCGCCAATTAAAACGTAACCGCCTCAATATATATTTTACCCACGCATTTCATTTCATGCATTTATTTCAAATTCTAGCAACGTGTTCTAGTTCCATATTTGGTAAATGCATTCATTCCCCAAGCATAAAAAATATATGGCGGATGCAAAATCATTTGTTGTCGTTTTCTGGAGACATTCGTTCGTCAATTCCTGAGAGATTCTGTTTTTTTCGAAGCATATTCGGCGCTGCTTCAATTATTGAGGTATGGGGCAGTTTAATTAGCAGTTAAAATTCCTGCACTTGGATTGTTAATCAAAAATGATGTTTGTAGCTTCGGTTTTTCTGTTATCGATTTTATGTATTTTGAATATTCGGAATTATGTCTTCAGTTCATAGCAGAGAGTGTTAGTGCAGAGGCAGGGGGAGGGGCTGGGGACTGAATCCTGAATTTTCTGGATCTCCATGCGGTAACCGGTCAAGTTCGGTTGTGTGCAGTTGTATTTCAGTTCATCGGTTGAGGTGCTCGCTTAGTCTTGATTTAAAGTGGGAAGGAAGATCTGTGGAGCTGTAGAAGGTAACAGGGAGTTCAAAGTATTTCTCCCGTTGCTTCCGAGGAACAATGGCGGAAATTTCGGTGAAAAATGTTATTCTGGAATGGCTATTTGGTTCCGCAATAAATTTTGCGAAAATTGGGGATTGGTGGCGGACAATTAGGGCTTTGTACATAGTTCCGATAGTTAGAGTTTCGTTGTACATTTGCTTGGTGATGTCTACAATGTTGCTTCTGGAGTGGTTTTACATTGGAGCTGTTTTTATATACGTGAAGCTCTTCAGGAGAACGCCACAAAAGAGGTACAAATGGGAGCCGTTCGGGGAGGATTCAGAAACCGCGAATGCGGATTTTCCGATGGTTCTTGTTCAGATTCCATTATTCAATGAAAAAGAGGTCCGGTTATTAGTTCTCAGGTCGCTCAGAAAAATGAAATGAAAAGAGGGAGCTGATGAGCATTGTTTGATTGTTCGTGGCGTGTAGGTTTACAAGCTTTCAATTGGTGCAGCGTGTAACCTGTCATGGCCTGCTGATAGGCTACTGATTCAAGTTGTGGATGGATCAACAGACATACTCATCAAGGTGAATTCTGATTCTTCGTCTGCATCAATGCATATTTAGAATGTGATGAGTGTTTCTTTATTGAGCTGAATATTATTTATTTTATTATTATTATTTGACTCTGTATAAAGTACTACTACAGGGTTTACTTCCTTGATTAATTAATCTTATGTTGAAATTTACAATATAAAGATTAACTAGTAATCAATGAAAGTAAGCATGCTCTTAAAGATGAATAATGTAATTGAATATGTATTCATGGTGTATAGACTACGGAAGTAATTGAATATGTATTCATGGTATATAGACTACGGAAGGTGAAAATTGATTAATTTTTTTTTATTGGGCCTTCTCCAACGCAATGCCAATTAAAGCGTTGTAGCTCTATATTTGGAGATATGCTTCTCCAAGGCAACTTCATTTTCATCCTCATTTTTTATGTTTGCTACAGTGCAACACGAGTAAGCATGCTCTTAAAGATGAATAATGTAATTGAATATGTATTCATAGTGTAGACTACGGAGGTGAAAATTGATTAATTATTTTTTTATTAGGCCTTCTCCAACGCAACGCCTCCATATTTGGAGATATGCTTCTCCAAGGCAACTTCATTTCCATCCCATTTTTGGTGTTTGCTACAGTGCAACACCATTTTTGGTGTTGCAACTGTAGCAACGCCAATTATAGTGTTTTTTAATTTTTTTTTTAATTTTTACAAAGACTAATTTGTAATTTTTTATATTTTAATTGTATATATTTGTATTTTTAAAATATAAAAAGTTGTTTAATATAGTATATAAAATAGAATATTTAGAGAATATTCTTTGTGGAGTTGAAAATAGAGTTGTGGATTGGAAGCAACTGTATTTTTAAAGTTATAACTGAGTTGTTCGGTTGGAGATGGGCTTAGGGATTTTTTTGTGTGTTTAAGAAGAAGGAGAAATATTAATTGTTCCAGCTATGCTTTGGTGGGTTGAGTGTTCTGGAAAAGTTTTTGTTTAGATAAAGTCCATTCAAACATGCTCATTTCTTGTTTGCCAAATACAGGTATGATTGCTGAATGTGTTGATGCTGACAACTCAAGCAATATTGTAGGATATGATCGAGAAAGAATGCAGGAGGTGGGCAAGCCAGGGGGTAAACATTAGACACCAAGTCAGGGAGACATCAGGGGGGTTCAAAGCTGGAGCACTCAAAGAAGGCCTGGATTACAACTATGTTAAAGAATGTGTTTACGTTGCTGTCTTTGATGCAGACTTTCAGCCCCCACCGAACTTTCTATTGAGAGCAGTCCCCTTTCTCATTCATAACCCTGATCTTGCCCTGGTGCAGGCCCGTTGGAGGTTTGGTGAGCTATTATTTTGTGTATAGTATTATGTTTTGTTAGCGTCATGCCTGATTCTTTCTTTTCGAAAGCAACAAGAATTGCAATGAACAACCAGAAATACACCATTGCATATCTATTTTCCATATTCATGTTGTTACTTTGTGATTATTCTCATCAGGAGTTATAACTATGGCTACATACTGCAATCGGTGTTAAGATTATCATACTGTTTCGATGTTATTATTATTTTTTATAGGTTTTTGTCTTAGCAATTCTATTTTCCTTTCTGGGAAGTTCCAGTCACATTATAGTGAAATATTTATTATATGGATTCAATTCATTATATCAGTCCATGAAACAAAATTAAAATTTCCAATTTGTTGTGATACAAATATGTAACTAAATCATCTCCGCTAAGTTCAGGGACTAGGCTTCACTTTATGACTGCTATTGACATCTGTACTGTTTATTCTACAGACTTTTTGTGTGTTCTTTTGTGTTTTGTGCGTTTGTTTTATAGTTTTGATTTTGACGTTTTTAGGTGAAAATTTTGTAGATGTGATATTTATGGAAATGAGAATTGGATATCAATATTTTGGATGGAAAAGTAATATCCTGAATAGGGTAAAAAAGAGGGCAGAACACAAAAGAAAACACCCTCTTATTCCTAGAAATATGTGAAATTTTGAATTTTGTGAGCAGTTATGGTTGAATTAATTTTTTAGCATTCTGGTATTTGTAGTGAACGTAGATGAATGCTTGCTGACAAGATTCCAAGAAATATATCTGGATTATCATTTTACTTGTGAGCAAGAAGTTGGATCCTCCAATTATGCCTTCTTCGGCTTCAATGGTAATGCTTAATATAGCAAATTCAATAATCTAGTTAGAAATAGTCCTGCTGCAAGCAGCAGGAATATGGCTATATATATCACTACATCTGCATAAACAAACACACATCACCATAATCTAATCAATGATTCTTATTGCATTCTTATTCTTAACCAATGAAGGATAGCTTTACTGAATTTACACGAACTGAAACTGGATATGACAACTAGCTTCATGACATGGTCTCAGGAAATTGTGGAATACAGAAACTTTTATACTGAATTTACATGAACTGAAACTGGATAACCTGATGTCATAATATGGTCTCAGGAAGCGGCGGAATATGGAAAATTGCTGCAATAAATGATGCCGGTGGATGGGATGCCCGAACCACTGCAGAAGACATGGATATTGCAGTTCGAGCTGCGCTCAAGGGCTGGAAACTTGTTTATGTTGGAGACCTCGAGGTACTTTTGCTACAATTTTGTTGCCGTATCTCATAATTACGCGTAGAGTTAATTCAACTATTCCATCATTCATGTTAATTGTATAGGTGAATAGTGAACTTCCCAGCACATTTGAAGCATTCCGTTTGCAGCAGCACCGCTGGTCATGCGGTCCAAGCAATTTATTCAGAAAAGTTTTTACAGACATTGCTAGGAACAAGGTTTGTTCCACATTACATACTTTTTAAAATTTTCTTTTTCAAGTTCTGAGCAGGATTTGTTTGATATAACATGTGTTCTTCTTTTGGCAGAAAGTATCAATTTGGAAAAAGTGTTATATGATCTACAACTTCTTCTTTGTCCGGAAGATTCTTGGACATATGTGCATATTCTTTTCATACTGCATTGTGCTACCATTGACAATTCTGATACCCGAAGTTACCGTTCCGAAAGGAGGGGCTGTTTTCATCCCATGCATCCTTGCTGCTATAAATTGTATATTTGCAACTCCGAGGTTAGTGTTAATTACTACAAATCCTTAACAACTTCATGCCATTTGATGCTTTTCTTAAATTTTAATTGATGAGAATTTAGAATATTTTAGGTCACTCCATCTTGTCTTCCTGTGGATCCTCTTTGAGAACACCATGTCTGTTCTCCTCACCAAAGCCGTGTTTACGGGCCTATTTGGGACTCGAAGCTCCAACGAGTGGATTGTCACAGCGAAACACGGAGATTCTTGCACACAAAATATGACCAACATTGATTCAACCGAACCACATAAACCACTATTTGAGGTTCTGAGAAACAGGTAATTTACCAATTGTTATGATCAAGTTCAGCTGAATGAGTACATAAAATGTTTACAATTACAATAATTACATTGTTAATTGTATATGCTTGATTGGAAAACAAAAAAAATTATAGAAGGATTTGTTAACTAGTTTTTATAGTAAATAACACTTTTAATTTTTGGTTTTTTCGCTGAAATAATTATTGGATATGATGTCGAATAATTTCTCAGGATACTACTACCTGAGCTGGGATTCGCCGTTTTTCTTTTCATCAGCGGATGGTATGGATTCCTCTACCGAAAGGATTACTATTTCATATACCTCCTCTTTCAAGCCATTGCATTTACAGTTGTGGGACTCGGGTTCATAGGCAAACAAAAGTCCGGGCATTAGCAGAACGGGAATTATTAATCTGCACTGTCGCCCTCCGGATCATCCTTTCTTGCTAAAGTTGTGCATTAGAAGACTATGTTTCCACGCTCCTAAAACTGGTAAACTGGTCCAGGTTTTGTCTTTACACTTCATTTTTTTGTTGATTGCCTGCCATTGATTGTTATCATCATCAATTTGTTTTTGTGATGGGGGGAATTTGAAAGGAAGCATAGCTTGCTGACTAACACCCATAATATTTTTTGGAAATTCTTTGTGATTTTATTGTGAACATGTATTTTCATCGGATATCATTCTTTTTAGCCCCGTAAGGAATTGGACTACAAGGTTATGATTTCAAAATGTGCGCATTCTTTGTCAGCGTGGACTTATTTGAACTTGAGGATTTACCCAATGTGCACCTCGAGTAGCAGTTATGGTTCCGAAGTCATGAAAATATATATATATATATATATCAGTAGCCAGTCTCAGGGTGATGAAATGTTGATTTTGGACATGTTTTTTGTTCTTTACTTGGTGGTTTGGGTGTCCATATTTAGGTGTCAAGTGGGGAGTACTTTAAGCCTATAGAAGCTTTATGGAATCTAATCTAATGTAGTTTAATTTGTAATAGCTTCTTAAGTAGAATTATTAGTATTATATATTATATTATGCTCAAAGAAAATTGTGATGCATTTTATTGAAATGGGGCAACCATAGGTGTTTTCATTAAAGTTTGTTTTGTTAGTATACGAAGTGAATACAAGAAATAAATTGATAACAAGATTTATATATTTGTGACGAATCAATCCTGGGAATGGAATAATTTTGCATTAACACCAGATCAAATAATGGGTGGTTGTCAATAAATTTAAAACTAAATAAAAACCTCATTCCTGCATGAGATTTTACGCAGCACAATAATTGATAAATTAAATACCATGGTTTGTGTTACACCAAATTAGTGCACATATATATATATAAATACACAGAGAGAGAGAGAGAGAGAGATAGAGAGAGAGAGAGACAAAAGTAGTACATATCCATTTTGCCACACTGGACTACCTAATACTTATTATACTGAACTAAAATAATGTGTATATTATATATATATATATATGTATGTCCCTAAATCAAACAGGTCCTCTATATATATATTGCTTTGCCGACAATTCAGATACCTCTATTTTTGTTTTTATTTTTTATTTTAATTCCAGCTGATATGCTAACAATATATATGTATACATAATAAAGATATCTGATAGTGTGTATATATATAGAGAGAGAGAAGCATGGCTGTAATTAGTGGAAGAAGATGAAAGCAGAAGAAAAGAGGACAATCTGGACCAGTTCTCTGACATTATTAATGAATTTGTATAATCATTTACTTATTTATTTTTTATTGTTTAAAATGTAATATATATGATTGTACAATTTGTAGGGTTGAAATTGTGAAGGAGAAGATTAGAATTAGGTTAATTTGGAAGCAGCAAGCAAAGCAAAGGAAAGGAAAGCAAAGCAAATGCATGTGGCTTCTTACTTATCATATGCCTTCTTAGCACAATTATCAACATGAAATGTCCTCTTCACCCCTACTCCTCACGTGCCTAAAACTATATATCATGTGCCTGCCTCCCAATTTTATTTTACTATTTCCAACCCTAAACCCTACTAGACTCCTTTTTATTGACCAACTTCTACACCTAAATACTCTGCCTTTAATGACGTCATTATTTAATATTCAGAATCATATAATATTTATTTAGGCGTAGTTGTAACTTTTTTATTTTTATTAACCCTAAAATCAATTAATTAATTTGAAACGGCATATTAGTTTGCACAGGAGAGAATATTCGTGAGTGTGAGTGTGAGTGTGAGTGTGAGTGTGTGTGTGGTGTGCAATTCCTCGAATTAGGTACCACCATCACCAAACTCCAATTGAATTATTTTTATCCCTACCAAAATAATTACTATATATATATTCATAAATTAAAATTTGGAGCCCACTGTGTCCTGAACCGACCCGACCTGGACCGGCCGAGTGACCTAATATTAATTTGTCACATTGTGCCACCGACGCTGCTCATAATTCCACCAAGGCAGGTAGGCTAGCAACGGCACTCTTCCCTCCCTTACTGTGGACGTGATTGCACAGGATCATGGCTCTCCCCCGATTTCAATTCCAGTCATATAATGTTGGTATATTTTTATTTTTAATATTTTATATTTAACAGATTATATAAATTAATTAAATTAAAATTTTAAATGTAGAGTATTATCAAAACTTTCTTTTTTTTTTCTTTTTTTTTTAGAAATTAGAGATAAAATTCTCTCCAATGTGTTTATTAGAATCTGCAGTGTTATGATGTTCGATAACATTGTTATCTATTTAATAGTAGAGCTCATATTGAATTATTATTCATATATTATTTTTTATAATAAATATTACTTTCAAATATCCTACTTCATTGTCCTTTATTTGGGTAGATTTTTTTAATATTAATATTATATTTTTTTAATATTAATATCATTAAAGATGATTTTTTTTTAAAGTAAATTTATTCATTTTAAACATATTTAATTAAATTTCTAAAATCTTGGACTCATTCAAAATTCATTTTTTTATATCTCTCCTCAATAAACAAATATTTTTATTTATATTTAAAATTTTTATTTTTATAAAATTAGTTTTAAGTTAAATATAAAAATAAATAAATTTTTATTATTTGTATTATATAAAATTTTATCCAAGTATATATTTTATTGAGATATTTTTTATAAACTTGATAAATAAAAAATAAAAAGTTAGTGTCAACAAAAGATTCTCTCCTTACATGGTCTATTTTAAAAATTAAATAAACATCTTTTTTATTAAAAATTTTATTGATTTTTTTTTTTTAATTAGAAATTGAACAAATATTTTAAATAACGTATTTGATTGTATATATTTTGATGTTTGTATTATTTTGATAATAAATGTTCAGTTTAAAAATAAAATTTTGATACGATATTTCAAATTAAAAATAAATTGCGTATTTTTTTTATATATATATTTAATTCGTAATAAAAGTTGAATAATTATGTAATTAACTAAAAATTGATAGGGACATTGTATTGCATTTATTACAGCAAATTTCGCATGTTTATGCGCTGCTTCTGCCTTAATGAAGTCTTTATTTAAAATGTCTACTTTTGACTAATTCATTCATACAAAACTACAAATTTATTTATTTAAATTTTTCTAAAGAATACAACAAAAGTTGGGTTTGTGCATTTTATTTTATTTTATTTTATTTTTCTATCACTCTCTTCTTTATTTTAGATTTCCTAACATCACTGCGATCTCTTTGCTTTTACTCATTAAATAAAATCTGAGTGTGACAACATGATAATATTTAATTCATTCAGATAAGTTTTTTTTTTTTTTTTTTTTAATGAAACAAATTCTTTGAAATTTTGAATTTGTTTGAAAATGCTTTGTCCCATTTATATTTTTAAAAAGAGGTCCTTTAAAAATTAATTAAATATCTCCTCATTTCTATAAAATAATTAAAGCTTAAATAGATGTTTAACAGGAGTATAATACTTTGTTTCATAATCCTCTATCCGTCCAACTACAAAGTATACATATTTCTATTTTGGGACGTTTACAAAGTAATCATTTCATTAAATACCCTATTTTTTTCCACAAATATTCTTATTTTACATCGCATCATTATTTAACAAAAATGTCATTAAATTACTTTTACATATCCACTGTAACTAAAATAATATTATTTCTTAAACTCCGCTCCAAAAGTAAATGTATATTTATTGCTTGGACGGAGGGAATATCATTTTGTTGTAAATTATAGATGAGAAGCATAATATGCAAGAAATTTATCATTAAAATTTGATATAATAATTATAACTTTGTTTAGTTAAATAGTAATTTTCTTCACAAAAATAATCATTATAGAAATATCTAATTATTTTTAAAAATAAAATAAAATACAGAAGCACTTAAAAATAATCAAAATCATTCTAAAATACAAGAAAATACATCATACTCCTATATAATTATGGCACGCCTAAATTTAAATTTTAAAAAATATATATATGTTGTTCGAATTTCTCGTGGCATATCATTATGACACGGAAATTGAAAATAATAAAATTAATTGCAACGCAATTTGAGGTTGCGAAAAAAAATTAAAAAAATAAAAAAAAAATGTATAAATTCAATGAATAATAAAATCCACATTTTCTTCAATCGCTTAAAACGCGCCCAAATTAAAGGCGCCAAAATTCATTATTATATTTTTACACCTTGCCTTAAAATAGGATGTCGGGCTGGTCAAACTTTGACCCTTTCTCAATGAAGTAAAATGACGTGGCGTCTCACTACTGGCCCCATTTTTCACTACTTTCTTGCCGCATGCATTTTCTGATAAATCAACTAATATATTTTTATTTTATTTTATAGTAAAAGGCAAAATGTTACTAGAAAAAATGTTCCATTATTATCCCAGTCTCATTGTAATTTCAAATATATATATATAAATTTACAAATAACCCTTAACAGATATTTTGAAAGTTCTTTTTTCTTATATATATAATTTAAGACCTCCAGTCCTTATCCGAAAGTGCATTCCGATAAAACCTAATATTTTGCAAATTAGACTTAACGAAGCAAGTCACACTAGGCAAACCATGTGTGGCAGGTGGACCTGGAATAGTCGAAGTTTAAAACTATGACCTCATGATCAAATTTTTATTTATTATATAACTACAATAAAATTATGTATATAAATTCAATTAAATGAACAATAATATAATAATATTATTGCCAAAATAAGTATATCATTTGTTTATGAGTAAGTACATTTTCGATAGCATAAACCAAGGCCCATAAATAATTTTTATTATTGAATAATTATAACTAATTAAAACACTTATCCCTCAAGATTTTATATACATTGGATCATCAATTTGTATAAAATTATTTAATATATTAAATAATATAATCAATGAATGATTATATTATAGAAAAGGGAAAAGAGAAAAAAAAATAAATAAATTGAGAGATACATACAAAAAGAAAATTTAATCTTCTTTGCTGTTCTTCACTTATTCCTTAATTGGTTCGACTATATCTAATATATACATACATATATATATATATATTTTTTATTTTGTTAGTAGTAATTATGCGAATATTCGATCGATACCCTGTAATGGAAATTGAGAGATAAAAATAGCCAATTAATTTTGATGTTTCTGAAAGTAAATTGATGATGAAATTCCCTATTTTGTATATTACTTAGCCAATTCATTGTAGGAATTAAATAATTTTTCTTATATAAAAATATAAATTGCTTATCACATTTCAATGACTCTATTTTGGGACAATTAGTTCAAATTGGTGTGATAGTCGTGTACTATTTTTGCTGGGTAAATTGCCCCTTAGAATCATCACAAAATGCATTTCATTTTGGTTTGGATCAAATTTGGATATTTGAATTGTTTATTTTAAATAAGATTTACTATAATATTTTATACACGTCTTTTTATTAATATTATTAATAATTTGTATTTTACTTACTTACAAAAATTAATAATTCAATATATAAATATTATTTTCTAACTTATTTATGCTTATAATAAATATCTTAAATTTAAAATACCAAACAAAAATAACGGTATTTTATATTGATTGTAGTTTTTTTTTTATTATTAATTTTTTTCCAATTCTTTTTTATGATATTTAAAAAAAAAAATTGATAAAAATATAGTATTAATTTTAACTTTCTTTAAAAAATATAAAATCAAAATACTTTTTAAATATAAAACACAAAATACAAGTCAAAACATATTCATAGTTAATTTCTCAAGGCCATGTTTGATTGGAGAGATTTGAATTAAAGACATTTTTTTACGCAACCCTTTCTATATTTACACTAATAAATTATTACAGTGTTTGTATTAAAGAATTGATCATGTAAATATAAGTTGAAGATATTTTAATATTAGATTAGAAAAAAATATAAACAAATACTTAACAGTGTTCACGAATTTTTTATTTTTATTTTTTATTTTAATATGGTTTTTTTAGAGAAAAATAATTTGTTGTTATTAAAAACGGATAAATTTAATATAAGAATAAAAATGAAAATAGTGATTTCAAGTTGAAATCACTATTATTTATGGTTTTTTTTTAAAAAAAAAACAAATATATTACTTTTTTTTAATAAAATATTATTTTTAAAAAAATTTAAATTAAACAAATATATATTTATCGTCAATTAGTATAATAACATTTCTCTATAATCTTCTCAATTATATTTATCATTTTTATATATCCCGCTTCAAACTATTATTTTTACATTTCTTTTGTCCTGCTTCGTAGTATGCAATTTTTTATTTTTTTAAAAAAATAATTATACATTAATACTAAAATACTTTTAAATGTTTACTTGAATTACAAGTATATTATTATACATACAATTATTTTATACATAAAATCAAAGGATAAAAATGTTAAAAATTCTTAAAGACTTCTACCTAAGTAATAAAGAATTATTATTTTTTAATTTATTGCAAAATCTCGAATAACTCATTTAATTTGGGACAAAAAAATATATAAGAAACTAAAACATATTTTAAAAATTGAATTAAGATTATTATATATTTAACATAATTTATTTTATATATAGCACATATAAGAAGCAATTATTAACTAAATATTTCATTCGTCTCACATATGGTGAAATACTTGATTTTCGACACAAGAATATAGGTAAATATAGTAAACATAGTTGATTATAAATGAAGTGATGTAATAAAAGAAATATATATTTATTTTTTTTTATTTAAGTGGTGTGATAAAATTAAATATAGTTAATTATTTCTATTTTGAAATATAGAATATACTAAAATAAAAATACGGCAAAATATGTGAGATGAAGGAAATACTTTATATTATATTGTGATAGAAAGGTAATATTAATTATCTATATATATTAAATAAAATTATATATAAATAAAACATAGTTAGATTTTGTTTTAATTGCAGAGGTTAGTTAGTCGATATAATTAAATTACTTTATGTAATTAAAATACTTTTAGAAATGATTTAATAACTGTATAATTGATTTTATATATATATATATATTCTAAGGATTTAAAAATTAGGCTAATGATCATGTGCTGATATTATACTTTAATTCAGCATTGCTGAATCTCATATTAAATGGATAAAATTGCATTTTTAGCCTTCTATTAAGTAATACTAAATGAGATTAGCGGCTGTGATTAACTTCAGCCGTGTTGATTTTTACAATTTCAGTATGATATCAGTATTGTAAAAATTATATTTAATTGTTTATTGAATGGTTATCGTGTATGCTTATTTTTTATTTTTCCGATTAGCATAGATAAAATAGGCAAACAATACATTCACTTATTTCATGTTTATAAGTGTGATTTATCAAGCTTTACTAAGGCTCCGTTTGGATTGATTTCTGTAAAGTATTTTTGGCTTTTACTTCTAAAAAAAAATATTTTTTTATATTTGCATTGACTTCTCCTCGAAATCAGAAACAATTTTTAGGCTCCAAAAATATTTTTTGAAAAACACATGAGAGAGTGCTTCTGAAAAAAAAGCAGAAGTACTTTTACTATCTAAATACAATTAACCATAATAATAATAATAATAACAAATTAAATAATAAAAAAATAAAAAATAAAAAAATTTAATTTATATAAAAATTAAATATAATTGTATTTTAATTATTAATTTAAATATTTTATTTTAATTAAATTTAAAGTTTATGATTAAAAATATCACATTTTAAAAATATAAATTTAAATTATATAGTAGATAATTTAATATTTTTAAACACTATAATTTATAAAATTAAAATAATTTGTAGAATAGTATTATTTAAATTTAATTAAATTTTTAATTTTTTTCATTTTTATAAAAAATATAAAAAATGCAAATATAATTTATACATAAAATTTAATAAATATATTTTCAATTAGTTTAGATAATTTAAATTTTTAAATATAATTTATAAAATTCTAAATAAATTAGAAAATTTTAATAAACAATATACTACTATTTACATTACTAAGTCCTATTTGGTAATTTTAACAGTTTAAAAGCACATTCAACTTTATTATATTCAAACAATTTTTTTTATAAAAAACTGCTTTTATAATTATTCATCCAAATATAAAATCGACTACTTCTGCTTTTGGCTTGCTTCTACTTCTGCTTTTTTAGCTTCTGTTTATTTTTTAAGCCAATTTAAACGGACGCTAAATGTACTACTTATATACTGTCTTGTAAAAGTAGGAAAATGAACTTGTGATCGTAGGGTTATGGGTTCAAACTCCGACGTCTTCAAATCATCTGTCACACATGATTCTTCAAATCGGAGATTTAGTCCGTAAGAAATGAATGGGTGATGTGAAGTGAACTCATGAAAATAGGGTTGCAAGCTTATAAATTCTTTATTTGAAATCATGAATTTAAATTCCTAATTATCAAAAAAATAAAATAAAAGAGAAAGTAGAGATTTCAAGTTTAATTAAGTTTTATTTATTCAATTTTGACACAATTCTCAAAATATATAATACTATATACTATTATTATTTTATTATCTCATAAAAAATTAATATATAATTTATAATATTATTTCCTATATTAATAAAACGAATTTTCATATTCTATATAAAAAAAAATTAAATTAAAACACTAAATAATCACATCATTTGAATCATAGCTACTTCATATTTTAACATTATAAAAATAAAAAATAAAAGCAAAAATATGTAAGTGAAATTTAGGCCATCTTCAACCCAATTTAGCGTTGGAGACAATCGATGCCAATAACGCACAGTTAGAGATGATCTTACCCAGTCAAACTCCAATTAAAAAATAAAAATAAAAATAATCGAATAAAAAAGAATAAATCTTTGTCTTAAGTAATTTTTATATTTAATATTAAATTATATAAAAATAAATAAAATTTATATGAGGTATAGTAGATTACAAATAAAACTTGTCTAATAAAATAGTAAACTTTATTTAATAGGAGTGAAAAATCGGTAACAAATAGCTAGTAACTTTATATATATATATATATATTAATATTGATATAATTATATAGATTCCAAATAAACATTTAAGCAAATTTGATGATAAAAATGTTATAATTTAATTAAAATTAAGAAAATTAATTAACATTACTGCCGTTGACTACTTATTAGGTCATCAACTACCATTTCCGTAATTAAAAAATAAAAAATAAAAATTCCAAATTCCGATGTTATCTCTATAACAAATTTCAATTACTACGCAATTAATCGACAATATACATTAAATTATTTATTTAAGAGACTAATAAAATATCCAAAATAAAAAGTAACACAATAAAAGCCTCTGATATTACTTACAAAATTTGGTAAAATAAAAAACAACAATAAAAATGAATAAATAAATAAATAAAAATAAAAGATAAACATTGAGAATTAAGTAAGGCTTATAAATAAAACTCCTTTGGTTTGTTCCAACACTGTCTCTCTCTCTCTCTCTCTCTCTCTCTCCATCACTCTTCGTCTTCCACTCTCCTCACAATGCCTCGATTCCTCTCTGAATTTCTTCAATTCTGATGCAATCTAACGATTCCCGAAGAGATTGCAAGTGAGGAGGAGGTGTCAGATCTGTTATTGCATCTGTAGAATCGGAGAAATCCAATCGAATCCGATCCCCTGTTTTTCCGATTCCTAAAAATGGCTGAAGTTTCGGGGAAGAGCTTCCTACCGGAATCGTTCCCGGGGTACTCCTCCGACATCGCCGGTCAGATGAGTCTGCTCTGGGAGCTGGTGAAGGCGCCGCTGATAGTTCCGTTACTGAGGATTTGCGTGTACATTTGCCTTGCGATGTCGATTATGGTGTTCATGGAGCGGCTGTACATGGGCGTGGTGATAATTCTGGTGAAGCTGTTCTGGAAGAAACCGGAGAAACGGTACCGGTGGGAGCCGATGGAGGATGATTTGGAAATGGGGAGTACCGCTTTTCCGATGGTCCTTGTGCAGATCCCCATGTTCAATGAGAGAGAGGTTAGGTTTTCTCCTGTGATTTCAATTTTTCCACGCACCAACACGTGCGCGTGCGTGTGTGTGAGCGAGGAAGGAGTAACCGTCTTAAGGTTAACGACGGCGTGTTTTCAATTTCAGGTTTACAAGATCTCCATTGGCGCTGCTTGCAATCTCTCATGGCCGGCGGATAGGCTCGTCATTCAAGTCCTGGATGATTCCACAGACATCCTCATCAAGGTACAATTCAACATCTGCAAATCTGCATTTAAATCACACCTGGAGAAATTCGATTGCAATTTTCATTTCTGCGATTTGATTGGTATTTCCTCTGAATGTATTCTGTATTCATTCGTTCGCAAGCACAAATCTCAAAAACCAGAAAAAGTATTCACTGACTAATCATAATCACCGCCATGATTTATTCTGACCTTTCAATCTTTCCGTCCTTTCCATCATTGTTCTCATTTGGCTTTATGTTCCCAACCTTTTCTCTCAAGACATTACCATTATTGTGAGTTCCCCTAGCAGAAATCCACTCAATAATGATTTTTCCGCCATTAACAAATGTTCGTTTCAGGACATGGTGGAGAAAGAGTGCCTAAGATGGGCGAGCAAAGGCTTAAACATCACATACCAAATTAGGGAGAGCAGAGGAGGGTACAAAGCCGGAGCTCTCAAAGAAGGCCTCAAGCACGACTACGTCAAGGAATGCGAATACGTCGTCATCTTCGACGCCGATTTCCGGCCCGAGCCCGACTTCCTCCGCCGGGCCGTCCCTTTCCTCATCCACAACCACGATATCGCCCTCGTGCAGGCCCGCTGGAGATTCGGTAAGCGCTACTCAACCCATTGCTTTCGGAAACACGACATCAATTAATGTTAGATTCTCCGTTTCTGTTAATTAGAGGTTTATAACTAAAGTCGCACTCACACTTGGGGGGAGTGTCGGTGTCGGTGCTCTTATGATAATATTATTATTATACTAAAATCGCTATTGCTGAAAATGCGTTTATTATTATTTTTTAATTAGGTTTTGTTACCCTTTTCGTTTTGCTTGTTGCTTCTTGGAGAGATTTATTGCATTGTTTGCGGGGGCCTGGCCCAGCAGGGGTGGGGTGGGGTGGGGTTGGGGGGGGGTAGGGTGCAGCAGCCAGAGTCTTCTGCTAAGATTAGTTTGTCAATCACGGCATTATTTGATGGCAAAATGGGCATTAAATTTTTTGCCAACACAATTATTGAATTTGGTTCTTAGAGACAGACATTAGACAGTATAAAAATAATGCCCATTTGGATGATCTTTGACATTAGTGTTCTTAATTAGCCCATTATTCCTTCACTCCTTCCCATGCAATGTAATTTAACCCTTTTAGATGTAGTGGGTCAGGCGATAGATTTACGAAACTGTCCCCGGATATGCTGCTGGATATGTGTAGCAGGTTTGTCCTTTTGCTTAGGAAGCGAACAAGAAACAATATGAAAGATGAAATTTTTACACCTTAAAAAAGTAATTTTGGTCAAGGGTAGAATTGTAATTTCCGTACTCCCATGTGCTTATCATGCATTGCTCAGTTCCCCACAGACAACCATCAATGTGTAGCCGCACTGGGAAATTTATCTTTATTTATTCTATTACAGTGTCAACGCTACTAATCAATATATTTTTCGAAATAAAAATGAAGTGTAGTGGTAACTCCAGGTTGTGTTTAGTTATGTGGCAATGAAATAAATATTCATTGTCACGTGGTGTCAGAAGATTAAACAGTTGTTCCCCCTTCATTTTTATTTTTATTAATTTTGCTTCATGGACAAGTGATGCTGCGACAGCTTCCAGCTCACTTGGTCCTAATCAGATAGTTCTTGTCTTGATTTTGGCTTTTTCCCTGTATGGTTTTGGTATCAAGTTTGCATTTTTGAGAGATGACAAGAATAATAATTCAAAGGACAGCTAGAATTGTATTTCCTTTATTGTTTATGGAGCCGGAATGTATAATTATTAAAGATGAGATATTTTGTGGAATTTTGGTTGACAGTGAACGCAGATGAATGCTTGCTGACAAGAATGCAAGAGATGTCTTTGGACTATCATTTTACTGTTGAGCAAGAAGTGGGATCTGCCACTCATGCCTTCTTCGGCTTCAATGGTAGTATTTCTTAACTATCTTTAATCTCTCATCACTTCTTTAGTTAGGCATGCTTAGCTGAAATGATCGGGTTGATTAATTTTTTAATCCAACTCAACTCAATTATGTACGTAAAGTGTTTGTTTTCTTTATTCAACTGCGTTTTAATATATTTAAACCGAACATGGGATCAATGTCAGACATTCGGCTACGAATCTCTCAGCAATTAAACAAAAAGACAGGTAGAATTGAGTAGAGTTTGAGCAACATCATGCTCAATGCTAAGTTTTAAATTTTGTTTAGCTTAAGTGCAGATGAGCATCGTCATGATAATTTATAGTTATGCAGCTTGTGGAATGCTAATGCTTACATTTTCATGTTTGGGATTTGGTTGATCGTCATGATAAATGAATTTGAACTTGAGTTGATCAGTGTTCCAACAAATGTGTTTAAACAAAACAATCCTATCAGGGACTGGTGGAATATGGAGAATTGCTGCAATAAATGATGCCGGCGGGTGGAAAGACAGAACAACCGTAGAAGACATGGATCTTGCGGTTCGTGCTGGTCTAAAGGGATGGAAATTTCTTTACTTGGGGGATCTCCAGGTGCCCATTTCAATCTTGTCTAGTTTATGTTACAAGTTTAGCCCTCTAGATACCATTGTGGGACTGAGAATCGATATGTCTACATATTTTTCCAGGTGAAAAGCGAACTTCCGAGTACTTTCAAGGCGTTTCGCTTCCAACAACACAGGTGGTCCTGTGGCCCAGCCAATTTGTTCCGGAAAATGATGATGGAAATTGCATTGAACAAGGTTTGTTCATTGATATAGACACCTTGAACAAAACCTTTTTATCGTTCTTGGCATTTATCTGATAATTCTTTTTTAACTCTTTGCCAGAAAGTGACGCTATTCAAGAAGTTTTACGTGATCTACAGCTTCTTCTTCGTCCGGAAGCTCATAGCCCACATGTTCACTTTCTTTTTCTATTGTGTCGTCTTGCCTCTCTCGATCCTTGTCCCAGAAGTGTACGTCCCGAAATGGGGAGCTATATACATCCCCTGTATCATAACCACTCTTAACTCAGTCGGGACACCGAGGTAAGTTCTTTAAATCCGTAACAAAACATATTCATTTCGTTATTAATGTATGTATGTATTTATCTGTAAATCCCCAGGTCATTCCATCTGCTGTTCTACTGGGTCCTGTTCGAGAACGTGATGTCCTTCCACCGCACAAAGGCAACCATCATCGGCTTGCTCGAGACCACAAGGGTCAACGAATGGGTCGTCACAGAAAAGCTAGGCGACGCTCTCAAGAACAAATCCAAGACCAAGTCGACTGCGCCAAAAAGATCCCTCGCCAAGCTTCTCGGCGACAGGTACATATATATATACACAAATGTATACGTGTATACTAATGTATATGGAGCTCGCCTAACGTAAATCCATAACTCTGTTTCTTCAGAATACAACTGCAAGAGCTCGGATTCGCAGTCTTCCTTTTCATCTGCGGCTGCTACGACTTCCTCTACGGGAAGAACAACTACTTCATATACCTGTTTCTTCAAGTCATCACTTTTACGATCGCGGGATTCGGCTACGTCGGCACGATCATCCCGAGCTCTTGAGCTGTATGTCCTCTCCTGTCCTGTATCTGTAGTCTACACAGAAATATGTACACAAGAACAACGATTGGTTTCTGTTTGGGTTTTCATTTCAGTTTTCAAATGTCAACAAAAAAAACAAAGAAAAATATTGCAGGCAGCAAAGAAAAACATTGGCAGAAGCTGCAGAGAAAGGCCATACTCATACTCATGATATGATATAGTGAAGAGAGAGAGAGAGTGATGAAAGATCAGATCTTTAGAGTTAGTGCAAAAACTACATTATGTTGTTCTTTTTTTTCCATTTTTTTTGTGTTATTATTGTCATTTTTAGAGCAGTGCTTAGGTTGTGTTATCAATGTATTATTGTATTTTCATTTTTATTTTTTTTATCTTTATATATATATATATATATATTTGAGGGTTTTCTTGTGTTTCCATTTTTGGAGGCTGAATTTCTAAATTTTCATGTTATTAGTAAGTCATTATGAGGGTTGTGATTGTGACATTATCATTGATTTGGTACTTGTTGTGAAAGAACAAACTTAATTCTCGAATGACTTGTCATGATCCATTCTAATGGTGTTATTGTAAGTAATTATTGATCTTGATGGTCCCTCCCAATTTGATGAATGAAGTCCATCTTTTTCAAATTTTACAATGATTTTACTCAAAACTTGTTCGTGCCAACTGCCACCGTATGATTGATTTGAAATTGGATCAAATACAGTCTGCAACAAATAAATCTTGAGGGCATCACATCGGGGGTTTCTCCACTGCAGACAGAGAAACCCCCACGTCATTTGCCTTAAGAAAATAAAAAATTAAAAAATGACATGGAAATTGAGGAAAGAAAGCACCTGTGCTCTGCTCAGCAATTCAACAGCAGTGTTGCTGTATTTAATATTGTCACGTGTCCCAATTAAATTGGGATACGTGGCAAAAAAAATTTAATATATTTTTCTATTAATTTTTATATAGTTTATTTAAATTATATATATTAATATTTTTTATATTACATAAATTTTTATTTTTTTATAAAATAATATTAATTTTGAATATATATTTTTGCTTATTTAAATATAATTAATTTATTATAATAAATATTGACATATTTTTATTTAATAAAATTTTTAATTAAATATAATAAATTAATAATAAATATTTTTAAAAATTAAAAATATGAAAATAATAATAATAATCATATTAATAAATATTTGTTATAACATATAAATTAAATTATTAAATAAATATTAAGAAATATGTATATTAGATAAAATTATTATTTTTTAAATTATTTTTAAAAATCAATAATTTAATAATATAAAAAAAAATTAAAATTTATGTAAATGGGTTTCTTTGATGTGGATATAAAAATGATATAGATTTTTACAATGACGTGGCAGAGAGAGAATATGACGTGGAAGATAAGAGAAATGGAAGAAACCCATTATGGTTTCATTGATACGGATAGCCTAAGGCCATCCACAACACAGAAACCCATCCAGGGTTTCTTCCCATTCTCTCTCCTGTGCCACGTCAGTTTCTCTCTCCGTCACGTCACGAAGAATTCCAACTATATTTTACATTCACATCAAAGAACCCTTTAAAATCTTTACTTTTTCCACCTCATTAAATATTTTATCTATTTATAAAATAAACTTATATTTTTTCATTATATTTTATTCTTATAATATTTAATAAAAATAAAACAATTATTTAGCATAAATAAATAAAATAAATAAAAATAATAATTTCACACTTTGCATAATAATTAAAGTTAAATATTTAATTTTTTTATTTCTTGAAAAATATATTTCAAATTATAAATATTAAATAAAATTTTATATAACAAAATTAGAATATAATATTTTAAATAAAATAAATTATTATAAATATAAATAAAAAAGTATATATTATAAATATTATTTTTAATATTTATTGAATAAGAAAATGGACCATGGCCCACAAAAATTGGAAGAAACGGTACACTCGCAATGTACCGTTTCTTATGTTAATTGGTGTTTTAATTTTTTTTTTATTTAATAAATGATGACGTGGGAGGCGCTTCTCAACAAGCGTCTCCCGTTGTGGATGCCCTAACCCTCTGCCTTGAGTTTCAATGTAAATTTGAAAGTTGGATTTGAGATCGATAACAATTAAATATTTCAATTTAAATAAATTTTCAACGAAAAATTATAAGTGGGTTCTTTCAAAAAATAAAAAATTATGACATATTTTTTATTAATATTATAAAAATTAATATATATCAACCCAAAATAACTCACAATTTTTCATAAATATTATTAAAAAAATACCACGTTAATATAATATATACATGATCCAATTATAGAAATCATTTTTTATATTATCATACCAACACATTGCCCATACCATAAAAATAATAATAATAAAAAAAAAACAAATCAATTAAAAAAATTAATAAATCAATATAAAAAATATTTAATACTCCCCCGTCCCCTCCCACCTATTGTGTCTACACTACTATTTATGTTTGTCCTATATTTCTTATCATTTTGAAAACAATTACACACCTTAAATTAAATTTTATTTTAAAATTTTTAATTTATAAATTTTTTATTTTTAATTAGACTAATTATTACGTAGACCCGCAGCTACCTGAAAATGTGCACTGGGTAAACCTCCGTCCGAACTTAATACCCTGCAAATTATCACCCTACACCAAGGCCACCCCTTACGCAACAATAGATATATTTTTTATTATTTTTTGTTTTGTAATTTTAGAGATATTAAAGTTAGATATTTCACGTACTATTTTCTCATAAAATATATATATTTAATGTGATATTTCTTTTTAGAAAAATACAAATAAATAGTTCAAAAACTTATAAAACTAGGTATGAAACTAAAGTCCAATATTTTAAATAGAAATTTTTGGTTTAGTTGGTTGTGATTTGAAATTAATTTGAAATGAACAATCTAATTAAATTTTTGTTTGAATAGTATTTTTTATATCATGTTTTATACATATAAAAAGGTATATTTTTATTAAAAATTGTGCAAAATAAATAATTTCAATTTAAAATTAAAAAAAAATAAAATTTAGTATATATTTTATAAAAATTGAAAAAATAGAAAATGACACATCCAAAGATACCATTTCATACACATACAGCTGAAGGTGCGCTGGGATACCTTGGGAAATGATATTTTGAATTTAATTATTTGTATAGATGGTAACAAAATAAAAGATTTTTCCTCTATTTATATCTCCCATGGTATTCATTTGACACTATTCATTTTTTTTCTAAAAATATCATATTAAATATATATATATTTTTGAAAATATCAAATCAAATAATAATTTTTTACTTTTTCTAAACTTTCAAATTTTCAAAACCATCCAAAATAATAGAAAACAATATATTTATATTTAAGTCCAGTGGTAAATTTAAATCCATGAATAATATAGAAAGTTTTTGCTTTGAACGTGTGATTCTTTTTTGTATGATTTAAGTCCAGTTGTAGATTTAACTCTCTTGTATGATTTTTGTAATTTTTTTTGCTTTGAATGTGTGAATTTTTTATTTTTATTTTTTTTTTATTATTATTTTTTAAATTTAGTGGTAGAAATGAATCAATTTTAAATTAGACACTAACTCCATTTTAATACTCCCTCCGTATCATAAGTAAATGTTCATTTGCTTTTTGGACGTAGTTTTAGAAATATTAGTATTATATTGGGATATAGCATGAATAAAGTGGAAATGACTAAAATAACTTTATTAATATGTGTGATATAAATGTAATGGCATTTGTGTAATATATAGTAAGTTGTAAGGGTATTTGTAATGTTAGTAGATAGTACAGTACAATTACTAAAAAAAAAGAATTGATACTTTGTTATGAGACGGACTAAAATAAAAAAATGAATATTTTGTTATGGGATGTAGGAAGTATAAGACTTTAAGAATTTTTTATATTTTTTGTATTGAAAAGTACAAAAGTATCAGTCAATTACACTTTTACCGATATTTTCTTTTTCTAATAAAAATTTAGTAATTATTTTTTTTTTGTTGTGTTCTTATTTTATTTTTTAAAATTCAAACCCTCAAATAAAAATAGTTTAAATATTTATGTTTTTATTTTAAACTAAAAATATCATGATTTAATTTATTTATATATAAAAAATAGTTTAGTTTGTTTTAGTAACCGAGGAAAATGGGCCAGTATTGTTGAGTTTGGATCTACAAAACCGACCCACTCTAAGCCCATTTAAAAATCAGTCCAATTAACTGGACAATGTAAAATTAGAAAAAATGGTGGCTGTGGGGTTCGAACCCACGCGCACTTATGTGCAGAAGATCTTAAGTCTTCCCCCTTAACCACTCGGGCAAACCACCTTATATTTATTAAATTATTTATTAAACTATTTAAATAATAATTTATTAATAAAAACATTTCTAAATTTATACTTATGTATTCTTATTTTAAAAAAACATATTATAGTGTATTTTAATATCAATATATATGTATATTTTCTCACTAAATATTATATTAAAACTAAACACAAATCAAACAAAACTCATAATTTTGCTTCTTTTTATTAGATATACATTCATAAATATATTTTATTAAAAATTTTCATGTAACTAATTTGTTCTAGATATTTTTGCTCTTATTCATGATTTCTACATAAGATCAAATATGATTTTAAATATATAATATTACGACTATATTTGCGTATATATTGTTGAAAATTTCGATATAAATCATCTAATAGTCATTTAAAAAAAAAAAATTATATCAAATATTTTTCTATCTTACGAAATATTACACCAAATACAATTTTTTATTATTCTATTTTTATGTTTATTTTTTAAAATTCCAAAACTTTGTATCTAAATGGGACTTTTATTGTTGATCTAATTATGCCAATATGACTATTTGTGTTAAAAAAATTAAATAAATTAATCTTATTCACACTCTAAAAATTAATTTTTGTGAATTTTCATGTCATAAAAATTAAAGATTTTAATTAATTTAATTAGAAAAAAGATGGTAAAATAATAACATTAAATCTAATGATTTGTTGTGTATATTATAATATTTAAAAAATTACATTTAGGTTGTGTTTGTTTATAGATTTTTTTTTTTTAATATCAAAAATCAATTATACATCCAATTTTTTTTCCTTAAAAACATTAAATCAAACACTTATTTTTTATTTTCTATATTATACTAAAAATAAATTTTGTATTCAAAACATCACATCAACACCTATTTATATCATATCATATAACTATTCTAATTTAAATAGAAGTGTGTTTGTTAGGAGGTTTGAATTTTGAGTTGGGATGTGAATAGTAAAATTTTTGAATTAGAATAGTTATATGATG